GGCAGAGTGTGGGCTGGGGGGTCCTCCCATCCGCCACACGCCCACCATGGAGTTTCAGTGTCCTTTTGAGAATCCATTGTGAAAGGGATTGAGGCAGCATTGACAGAAGGTATGACAATACCTATAGTTAAAAGAGGAAAAAAATATTCCAAGGAAACAAGAAAGGCACACACAAATGGTTCTAAAGGTTAAGTTCGTCGGGAAGATGGAGTCTCACCCTGGACTTCCTGAGAGCTGGGCAATGGAGGGAAGAGCTGGGAGTTAAAGCCAGCTGGTTTCTGGAAGGAGGAATTAGCTGGTTCTATAGAAGCAAGAGGGTTTTTTCCCTGGATCCACTCCTTTTTTTTTTTTTTCTTTTGGAAGCTGGCTGGTAGAGGGATGGAACCCTGGACCTTGGTGTTATCAGCACCACACTCTAACCAACTGAACTGATCATTACTAAAGACGTCCTTTATCAGAGCTTTACTGAAGGGACACTGAAGGATCTGGGACTGCAAAATCCTCCACCCTGTTTTCTCCACGTACAGATGTGGATCTTATACAGCTTCTAAGCAGCACACCCCTTGAGGTGTAATGACGCTTACCTCAATATGCATGTAAATTCATAGAGAAAAGCCTGGAAGGTTGTGAGCATCCACCCATATACATATGCACACACGACCAAGTGGAAGAGGGGCCAGGTTGGGGGTAGGAGACAGCTGGTCCACGGGGACTTATTTAAAAAATAAAAGTGGAGGCTCAGAGTTCTGCCTGGTCCAGGTGATTCTGCCAGTGTCCAGGCCAGCACGGGCCAAGCCTGAGGCCTTCTTGGGGTCTAGGGAGGTGGCAGGTAAGACCTCAGGCATGCCAGCCAGAGCCGCTCTCCACACACCAGCTGTGTGACCTCAGGGAAGGCGTGCACCTCAGTTTCTCCCTTGCAGAGTTGCTCCGAGGACTACAAGGGACCATACTGCTTTTTATTTTTTAAGCTTAAAATACCCAGAGAAGTTACTAATTCTTGTTCCCTACCAGGTATCCCATCCTGGTGATCCTTGGGCCAAATCTGCCTGTAGACAGGGCTTGTTTGCCCTGCAGAATGCTGGAAACATGTCAGATCTAAGCATCATCAGGCAGGGTATGAGCCCCCCTTCCTCACACTCCCACCCCCACCCCACTGCGTGTGGTTTCCGCCCCAGCCCACTCCTCTCTCCCACCTGCCAGACCCCTGTGGGCACTGGAGTTTGCACTCCTGCCTCGGCATGCCTCTTTCTCGCAGTCACCTCTCAGGCAGACTTCTTGGAGCAAGCCAGGCAGCAGACAGCCAGAGGACGGAGGGGCTCTAGGCTGTTAATGGGAGATAGGTGAACACATTTTGGAAGGCAGATGTCCCCTTAGGACAGCAATGAGGCCCACCTCATGACCATGCTGGACTGGTAGGCCTCCCCACCGCCTCTTTAAATGAGAGTGTTTGTGTCTCACCAGATGTTTCCATGGCGGTAATTTTGTGGAACTAGTCATTGAAAGCTGCCCGTGCTGTCCTTCTCGAATAGCTCTTTCCTGATTGATTCACAGCATGCACTTGCTCTGTGCCTTCACTGAGCAGGGAGCACATCCATATAAACATGTAAAAGAGTTCTTCGAGAATCGACTTTCCTGACAGTCGGCAAATAGTAGCCTGCCGTCCTGCAATTGGATGATTGAAACGCAGTTCCTTTGGTGAAGCGCAGACTGGGCAGTTCTGGTGCTGGATTGCGACGGAAACCTCCTTAATTCAGCCATCCAGAAATTTAGTTAGAGCTTACTCATCTAGCTTTCAGGAAGGTTAAGGGGGGATAGTAAGTATAGGTGGGGCACCTCTGGGGTCTCAGATCTCATATCCAAGAGCAGATCAGAAGACAAAGCAAGATGGAAAATGACCTGGGGTGAAACCCACAGGCCGCCATTCTGCTGCTCAGGTTTGTTCTTAGAACACTGTTAGGGAGCAGTGCTGCCCTGGGAGAGAAGTACTGTGTTCATTCATTCATTCATTCCAAAGTCATCGTTGAGGGCCTACTATGCACCAGGCCCTTGGACAAGATTGGCAGGGCCTCTGCTGTCTGGCAGCTTCACTTTGAGTTGGAGAGACAATAAATACTTTATAAAGCTGAAAAACAAGACCATTTCAAAGGCAATAAAACAGGGCAAACGGATAGAAAGGGGACTGGGTGGGGCAGGTGCTGCTTTCGAGTATGTGGCGAGGGAGGGTCTCTGAAGACTAGAAGGATCAGGGCCGCAGGTATTGGTGGCAGAACATCCCAGGCGAGTGCACAGTTCTGGAGGCGGGAAAGTGCTTGCGGCACCCAGGAGCAGAGTGAGCGAGGGGGCCGTGCCAGGGGTGAGGTCAGACAGGTGGACACGGCAGGGTCACACGGGCCTCGGGGCCCCTGAAGGGAGTCGGGATTTATTGTCAGTGTAGTAGGAAGTCATTGGGAGGTTTTAGGCAGGAGACTGCCATGATCTGATTTCAGTTGTTAAAAAAGGACTCTGGCTGCTGCATGTGAGGCGGGAGATGACAGTCTGGAGGGAAACAGAGAGACCAGTAGGAGGTGACAGTGGTGTCTCCAGCAGAGATGGTGGTGGCCTGGGCTCAGGATGCAGCAGTGCATTTGGGGAGAAGAGGTCAGATTCAGGGTGTCTTTTGGAGACAAAGCTGAGGACTCGCTGACAGGTTAGATCTGTGTGTAAGAGAGTGAGAGGAAACTTGGGGACGCCTAGGTTTTTGGCAACTGGTTGAATAGGGGAACCATTTTTAAAATGGGAGAAGACTGGGTTTGGGGCAAATGAGTTAAGAATTCTGTTTGGGGCATGTTAAGGTTCAGATACCTGTTAGATATCTAGGAGGAGAGGTCAAGCGGTCACTCGGGATTGGTGGAGAGATTGCTGAAGATTAAAATAATCCGGAGCCATCAACATAAAGGTGGTATTTAGAGCCTCTGGCCTGGGCGAGACCACCTAGTGAGTGAGCGCAGAAACATCAGGAGGCCCAGGATTGAACCCTGGAGCAGCCCAGGGTTTGAGGCCCAGCTGAAGAGCAAGGAGCCAGCCAGGTGGAGGAAACCAGGTGAGTGCAGAGGAAATCCATCAAGGAGGGGAGTGGCTGCATGCAGGTGCTACAGAGCAGCTTCACTGCCTGAGGACCCTGTGACTTACTGTCTGAACCAGGCCACTTTTGAGAATGAAAAGAGGGCTCTGTTAGTGATTACACCAGGACAATAGGTATAAATCGGAATCGTCCCAGACAGGACAGTCCATCACCCCAGTCACTGGTGCCCCTGGCAAGTTGGGTTCCATGCTGAAATGGAGGCAGGAGCCCTTTGGAGGGAGTCAGGAGGTAATGTGAGGAAGGAAAGCATTGACAGCAACTCTGAGTGTCTCCAAGGGTGACGGGCAAGTCGCAGGGCACCCCCACGAGGGATTATTCCTTGGCAATGAAAAGGAAGAAAACTATAGATTCACACACATGGATGACTCTCCAAGTGATTATGCTGAGTGAAAGAAGCCAGGCAAAAAACAGTACATACCGCATGATTCCTTCTATGTAAAAGTTCTAGAAAAGCAAACAGTGTATAGTGATGGAAAGCAGATATGTGGTTGCCTGGGGCCAGGGACGGAGGGGCAGGAGGGATTACAAAGGGGTGCAGGGAACCTCGGGGGTGATGGGCATGTTCAATATCTCAAGTGTGGAGATGGTTTCATGGGTGTATACACGTACTGAAACTTATCAAGTCATACACTTTAAATCTGTACATTTTATTGTATGAGGTGTGTATTATAATCCTCGATAAAGCTGTAAAAAATGAGACTTTTGCTGTAAAGGGGATGGGACAAGTAAGACAGAAGCAGGAAAAGGTGTGCTTTTATTTTAAGCATGAACACAGAAGTGCTGAATACCTGCATGATCTAGGGGCACACGTGTTGGGGAAAGAAGGAAACAGGAAAGCTAGACCAGGACCCTTCTGTGAAGGCGACTGTCTGTCATGCGGAGGGGTGGGAATTTATCCATCAGCCTGGATTCTCCACCTACTTGTAGGAAGGAGTACTTGTTAGAAGTGCAGATATTCTCTAGAGACCATCATCGAGCCAGGGGCCCTGGTGCCCAAACCGCATCCCCGTGGCTCACCTCTGACCACAGCTTCAGCCAAGGTGGGACGGTCCCCAGCGTGCTGACAGTTCTGCCTCGGCTGCTGGCCAGGCTTTCTGCTACAGGAGCAAGCTCAGCTTGTACACGTGTGCGTGGGGGTGTCAGTGCCCTTGGGGCAAGCTTCAAGACAAGTGGAAAATGCCCAACCTCCCAGTCTTTGGAGGGACATTTCTGAGGTGCATGCTGTGGGTTCCCAGCGGAATGGAGCCCCAGTTGCCCAAAGCAGTGACCAGCTCAAAAAATACTGGGGTTCTCTCCTGCCCTCTATTACTCCCCCACTCCATCTGGGTATCATCTGCCAAGTAAGCTACTTGCACCCAAGTCCTCGTCTTAGGCTTCATTTCCAGGGCACCCAGAATATGACACCAAGGAGCCCAGGGAGTCTGCATTGTATGTGCACACTAAGCTTTTCTGATGCAGATGGCCCAGGAACCGAACTTTAAAGAACGCTGCTATAGGCAAAGAAGAAACATGGAGGATTTCACAAAGGGCAGATTTGTTCTTGTAGAAAATTAACTCTGGTGGTAATGTGAATCTGAGGTTGAAGTAGCAAGAGACAGGAAGCAAGGAGACCAATTACTGGGCTATTACAAATGTCCCAACAGGAGGGTATGACGATAAAGGCAGCAATCGAGGCTGTCCCTTTGTGAATGTCCTTTGATTTACAGAGTATGTGACAGAAATGAGACCGAGCCTTATTTAATGTCTCCAGTGCTGTAGTTTTATAAACCTCACATTTCTGGCATTTCACATTTCTCTCTTTTGGTATCTTCTACGTCCAAAATTTGATACATCAGTCTGATGCCACCCATCTTCATTTTGCTGAATTTTGTGTTTTCAGGATCTTGATATTGGTGCCAAGAATGTGAAGCTTTATGTCAACGAAACCCTCATCTTTGATGGCAAGTTAGACAAAGGCGGTGGAGAGGCCCTGGCTGAGCAGAGCATCCCAGTAGACCTGAAGATCAAGAAAAATGAAAGAATAGAGAGTGTTGTGAATGCTCACTCGGAAGAAAGTGGAGATGGCCACAGGATGGCTGGCGCGGGTGTGGATGAGGATCCCAGTGTCAACCGCTCGCAGCCAGCTGAAGCATTAGTGGACATGAAGGTTTCTTCACAGGGAAACCTACTTGGTGAGAGGACGGATCCTGATAATTGCATGAAAGACAGTTTGTCCAAGTTAGAGGAAGATTTAAGATTGTTGGCAGCCCCTGTCTCGATGGGTGACATGCCCGGTACTCCTCCCGCCTCCCCACCTGTGAAATGCCCTCCTTGTGATGAGGAGCCCTCTCTGATCCAACAACTGGAAAACCTCACAGGCAGAAAAATCTCTGAGCCACCAGGGAAAACCCCATCCTGGTTACAACTTCCTCCCACGAGGCAAGGCAGGAGGCCAGGAGGTGGGAAGCCGAAACCCCTCTGGCTGAGTCCTGAGAAGCCACTGGACTGGAAAGGTGGGCTCCCATCAGATGATGTCATCGCTGAGGGGCCTGGAGAGACTGAGGCCGGGGAGAAAGGCTCCTGGCATGAGCAAGGGCGAGTGGCCAGCTGGAATGTCATCACCAGTGACAGACCCCAGAGGGTAACCCCCAAAGACTACAGTGACGACTTAAACATCTTTAACTGGCCCCCCAACAGGGAGCACCCTGCTAGTGGGAGGAGGGGCACGAGAAAGGATGCTGTCAGCAGTAGTCATGGTGACGACCAGCCAGCCAGCAGAGGTAAGCTCTAAGAAGCAAGGCTGACTCGGGGACCATCATCCCTGTGCCATGATTCCATTTAGCTCCCTGAACCTCAATTTCCTTATTCACAAAGCCAGGGGGGTGTTCTTATCCAGGGGTCACAAATTCACTGTCTCAGGGGCTAGAGAGGTGACATATGAGTAAAATGGGCAAGACACACTTCACATGTTAAACTCATAGATGTATTTGTCATTGCCACCAAGATATGTCCCTTTGCCCATTTTTGTCACAATACATGGCTTTTCCAATCTAGACTTTCTTCTCTCACTTTTGATAGAGACATTGGTATCTAGTTACTTTGCTTTATCCTTAATGGTACTGTTATAACACAATTACCCTTGAACCAGTTTGTGTAAAAAAAGAAAGAAAAATAACACGGGCATGGTGATGAGTAGCAGTTGACACTTGCCTGAGTGTCAGAAGATGATAGGGAGTGGTGAGGACTGTGGCAAAGCAGAGAGCACAAGCCCTTCGAATGGGGAGCTGCTGCTCCCTCAGTCTTCTTGTCGGCATTCAGGAAGGTGAGTCTAACGTGCCAGACAGCCCCTTCCCTTTTTTCAAGAGAAGCCGAAAGTATGGAATATTCCTACTTTTTAACATTGGCAACCTATTGAGATTATTTTTAAACCACTCTGTGTATCCAAAAAAGAAGGTATGTCTGTTGGCGGGACTCACCGGGAGAGCTTTGTGCAGTTTGTAGTAGATGATCTCTAAGGACATTCCCAATTCTGAAAGGAGGGCGTGTCAAGGGCTGGGATTCTAAGTATTTGTGCGCAGATTCAGCTCCTGGGACAGAGTGCAGCATAGCAGCTAAGCGTCAACCCATTTGAGTCCAAACTCTACTGCATACAGATCGGAGCCAGGCACTCCCCTCTCTGGGCCTCAGCATCTTCATCTGTGAAATGGGAATGACACCGCCCTTCCTTCTCAGTGTTGCAAGGAATGAATGAGACGATGGCTTCAAAATGTAACAGTCTGGGCTGGCCCATGGCTCACTCGGGAGAGTGTGGGGCTGATAACACCAAGGCCACGGGTTCGGATCCCATATAGGGATGGCCAGTTGGCTCACTGGGTGAGCGTGATGCTGACAACACCAAGTCAAGGGTTAAGATCCCCTTACCGGTCATCTTTAAAAAAAATAATAATAAAAGTAACAGTCTGGCATGTGGTGAGTTCTCAGTGAGTGGTGGCTGTTATTTCTGCACTAGCTTGCACCACCTTTACCAGCCACAGAGCACTCAGACCTACCAGGCCAGGCTCACCTCTAGATCCTCTGAATTTAATCCCACCCCTCACCGCATGAGAGCACATGCCCTGGAGTCAGACTGCCTGGGCGTGTATCCTGACTCCATCACCTCCAACCCACACCTTGGGCAGATTCTGAAAGCCCCCTGAGTCTCCTCATCTGTAAAATGACACTAATAATACTCATAGGGGTGCTGGGAGGATCAAGTGGAATCATACATGTGCAGCATGTAGCACGGGTCCTGGCACATCGGTGCACCCAACAGATGTCAGCTGCTGCTGTCACTCATCAGCAGCAGCAGCAGCAGCCCCCTCCCCCCAGCCCTGCGATTCTGCCTCTTGGTGATGTATCTGTATGCGAAGGTGATGCTTGTAATTTTTAATGAATCAAATCGTCATCTACTCTTAGTGAGTGTCCAGTAGGCAGACCACTGATGTGTCACTTACAACACAGAGCAAGTGCCTCGGACTCTGAGTGCCTTCCTTACAGAGCTGCGCCCTTTGCTTCCTTCCCCAGGTGAACACACTTATGCTGCTCACCCCTCCCAAGACTTAGCACTGAGCCCGGGTGTCAGGGAGGAGAGCAGCTTGGAAGGGCAGAATCCAGAAGCTCTTCTAGGGCAGGTGCCTGGCTCACAGCAGGTACCCTGCAGTGTGGGAGGGAGGCCAGTAAGAAGGTGCTGTGATGGCTAACTCTGCAGTAAGCCAGGCACATTACCTAAATGACCTCTAAGCCTCACTTTACAGCTATAGAAAATGCAAGGTGTAAGTAACTTTCCTGGGGTCATGCAGCCAGTAAGGGGTAGAGTAGGATTTGAACCCAGGTATGCCCGCTCCAACATCCATGTTTCGAACCACTACCCTACAGTGCTGCATTACCATAGCTGTCATCAGCTGCCCATCCCAGGAGAACCAGGCAATTCCGAGCTCCCTGGTAAACAGACACACAGAGCCACTGGGAGTTCCCAGGTGACAAGCATTGTTCTGACTTGCCCAAGTTTGGAAGACTTTGTCTCACTTTAATTTCTTTCCAGGTATTTCAGTGCTTGGCTCAATGATACATTAGGAACTGAGCCCTTAAGATTTAATACTTATTAAGGTGCTCATGCTAAAATGGAAGGTTGCTTAGAAATTTTAAATTATCCGTTACCTAGAGCCAAATCCCACAGCCATGCCCTTCGGAAAAGGTGCAGGCCAGGCTCTCCAGCATTGCTTGTAGAGGGAATGACTGCCCGAGTTTGTCTCGGGTTGGAACTGTGCAGTCACCATAGACAGAGCCTGGGAATCCTTCTGTCCAACAGAACTTCTCATTAAACAACATCTGCATTTCAGATGGGGCTTCATCAGGAGTCAGTTGGCTATAGACGAATGAAATCACATCAGCCCAGTTTGAGCAGTAAATGGGGATAGAGCGGTGTTATTTGGAGAATGCTCAGAGAGCACCTTGACCCCATTGGCAGGACATGTAGCCACTCACCACAGGAGACTGGAGCAAAGAACCAGAAAGCTGATGGGAACCAAGGAAGCTTCTCCCTGTCTCTCCAGGGCTGCTGGCACTGCCTCTGCTTCTCTGGGGGTCTACTTTCCCTAACTCTCCTCATGAGATCAGCTTCCTTTGCTGTATTCACAGGGCAGGAAATGGCCTCACAGCCCTAGAGTGACTGTGTCCTGGCTCTAGCTCCAGCAACCAATTCCAAAGTCTCAGGGGAGAAGCTGATTAGGATTCCAATCTTTGTCCAATAAGCAGTGGCCAAAGGGGAGTTCACTAGAATAAACATGGCTGGTTATATCTCTCTACGTAATTTTTAATTTCCTGTTTTTAATAGGAATTAACACATACGTTATGATGGTACAGTTAATTTTTTTAAACTTAAGTTCAGAGCTTCATAGTTCATTTTAGTCTCAACCCAGCAGTGTTGTGGAATCTTTGATCCTGTCATCTCAGATCAGTGGTCTCTCCCAGACTGCGTTGACTGCAGATTGAAGCAGCAGCTTTCCGCTGTCCATTCAGACTGTGGATAGGAGCATTGGCCATGACAGGACAAAGCACGGATCCCAGCAGCTCCCTGATTCCCAAGGGGGAGCAAGTAGTGTGTTTTCCTGCAGATGGAGAGACATGGGCTCCCAGCCCACTCTCACATCAGAGAGGTTTGGGAGAAAGTCTGCAGTTCCTGGCTTTTTAAAGCCAGAATGTACAACTCAGGGAGAACAGGTTAGAAATCAGGGTGGAATGAAAGAAGAGTCCCTGGCTTGTTTGTGCAGCCAGGCAGAGAAACAGGGGCTGAGTCCCTGACACGTGACACTTGGTGCTGTCTCCTCAGTCCACTTGCAAATGAACGCAGGCCATTCATTTCAGTCCATGGAAATCAAATCACATAAACTGAAGTCATGACACTCCGCATGGGAAGTTCCTCTGCCAGATGTTAAGGCTTGCACCTGGGAGAAGAAGATGGAAGAACTTCTGGGATCTTTTTTAATGGCAAGTGAAAAGGAGGAGAGGCCAGAGGACAGGTGCAGGAGGACTGACAGGTGAAGGGGGAGTCCCTCGGCCTCCAGGCCTCATCCCAGGGGGCACAGAATGGGGGTGTGAGGAGCCCCTCCCTTTACTGGCAAACATCTATTGAGGACTTCCATGCACCAGGTGTCGTGCTAGGCACTGGGACATGGCAGGGAGCAAAAATGAGGTGGCAGAAAAGGCCTCTCCAAAGAGGTGGGTGACAAGAAAAGCCAGCTGAGTGGGCACCTAGAGGAAGAGCATTCCTGGTAGAGGGCACAGCAAGGGCAGAGGCCCTGAGGCCTGAAGGGACTTGGTGTGTCCATGGAACACAAGGGCCAGTGTGGCTGGGGCCGAGTAATCGTGGGGAGGAAGTGGGAGGTGAGGTTACAGAAGGCAGCAGGGGCCACACTCAGGGTCCTGTGGGCATGGTGACAGTTAGGTTGTCTTTATTCTCAGCATATGAGAGACAATGCCAATTAGAGGGGTCGATGACAAACTCCATTTTAGGCACATGGAGTTTGAAGTGACGGAGTGGACATGTCTGGACCTTCCAAAAAGTTGCTGGAATTGGAAGACGGTGCCCAGGAGAGAGAAGCCAGAACTTGACATATAAAGTTAAGAAAGATCTGCATGGGGGCCAGGTGCTAGATGAGGGCAGAGGAGGATGGCAGTGTCAGGAGAGAACCGGATGCAGCCAAGGCCTGGGCCTCGGGACACTCCCAGACGCTGGGTGTGGGAGGGTGGCACTGGTGAGGTGGAAAGAGAGTTTCTGTCAGAAGGGTAGGCAGGGAACCATGGAGGTATAGTGTCTCCTAAGCCAGTGCAAGAGGGAACACTAAATGGCAGAGGTTGGCCTGGGGTGTCAGGCACACAGTGAGGACCGAGAACAGATTGGGAGTCATTGCTCACTTGGAGAAAGCCGTTTCAGTGGAGGGTCGTGGGAACTGTAGGATTCTTATGAATGCAAAACACAGAAAGCCACCAGGGGGTTGACTTCAGGCACAGCTGGATCCAGGAGCTCAAATGATGTCATCAGGACTCTGTCTCTTGGCTCATGTTCCCCGTGTTGGCTTCATTCTCAGGCAGGTGCTTTCCACAGTGTAGTAAAATGGCCCCTGGCAGCTCCGTACCTATATCCCACCAGCTTAGTACCACCAGTTTAAATAGTCCCCCTTTGAGCCCAGCTCGAAGGACGCCATCAGCATTCACCCAATGCAGGTGGCCTGAATGTGGGGGGATCCCCAAAGGAAAATCAGCACACTGTTCCCAAGAGAAGGGGAAGGGGAGTTTGAGTGGGCAAAACAGTAACACTTCTAAGAGGTAGCAGGGGCTAAGAGAGGCCAGCAGGGATGGGAGGCAGAGCATCTGAGGGCAAGAGGGAGAAAATTGGACCATGGTCACAGGGAGCCACAGGAGCAGACCACTGCCTTTCTCTTCCTTCTCTTCTGGGTGGGAGAGATTTATGTGCATCTGCAGGCAGAGAGAGGGGAAGGTGCCAGTGGGAAGGAGTGATTGAAGATTCTGGAGAGGGAGTTAATTGATGGAGCCGAGCCCCTGGGAGACAGGCAGAAAATACAGGGCAGAGCCCAGTGCATACAAAGGGAGGACAAATAGAATGTCAGGGTCATCGCTGCTGTTTTCCCAGAGTGACACTTTACCTGGCAGTTAGCCTGGCATGGCTGTGAGGGCAGCCACTGCTTATGCCCACACTCGGCTTTTATAGTCTACAAGGAGGAGAGCAGAGCCTGCAGAGCCATCCTTCTGAGGGCTGGGCCCGCGATCTTGATGTGCTTGGGACACAGGCTTTGGCATGTGCAGAATAAATTCCTTACCTTGTAATACAACTGGCTGGCTTTCTTTTCTTAAGAGCATTTTTTTCCTTGATTAAAATAAAATTAATACATATAGGGAACTTTGAAGATAAAGTTACAAAGAAGAAAATAAAAGTCCTTCCTGTTTACCACCCAGAAACAATCACTATTAACACACTGGTGCATGTTGCCCATACCAGGATATTGCTACATCTAAAATTGCATATCTGGCTTTTTTTCATTTAACATTCTTCTATGAGCCTTCCACCTGCCATTAAACAGTCTTAGAGAACCACTCTAGAGTCACATGACTGTGACAGCCTCAAGCGGTGCCCCCCATGTTCCTGGTTTAGAGCTCAGGCAGCAGCATTGCCCCCATCGTGTGAATTTCTGAATCAGAGAAGGGCTTCTGGTAAAGTTTCTAACACAACTACATAGTCTTCTTTTGATTTGCATGGTAGTTGCGTTCTTAGAAAATTCGACATCTATTAAAAATTCTTTGTTTTTTGTAAAACATCCAGGTTCTAGACTTGGGTGATCATAAATCATTTTTTACCAACCTGAATGTTCAGTAGGACAGTAAAAATTTGGGTAAGACAGGAGACCGTGCTCTGTGTGCCAGGACTGTCCCATGCAGTACAGGATGTCAGCATCCCTGGCCCCATCCGTCAAGAGCCAATAGGGCCTCCCAGGGAGAGACAGCTGAGAGCAACCCCAGCAGTTTCTAGAACACCCTCCTGGAGGGTGACCCTGCTCAGCTGAGAGCCACTGGGTGGGACTGTCTCTAAGGGTCTCATCCTGTGTCCTTTCTTCCAGAAGACATCTGGGCCACCAGGATGCCACCGCTTTCGAGGTGGCACAGTGAGCAGGAGCACACACTGCATGAGTCATGGAACTCCCTCAGTGCCTTTGACCGCTCCCAGAGGGGACGCATCTCCAACACAGAGTTCCAGGGTGACATCCTGGACGAGTTCCTGCAGCAGCAAAAGAGTAGCCGGCACAGCAACCCGCCACCATCCTGGAGGGAGGAGAAGCCAGAGCCGTGGGAAGGGCAGGACAGCTGCTCTGCAGAGACAGACGACGGGAGCGACTTTAAAATCCCCGTCTTGCCATATGGACAGCACCTGGTCATTAACATCAAGTCTACATGGGGGGACAGGCACTATGTAGGCCTTAATGGAATAGAAATATTCAGTTCCAAGGGAGAGCCAGTGCAAATTTCAAGCATTAAAGCAGACCCCCCTGACATCAATATTTTACCTGCCTATGGGAAAGACCCCCGCGTGGTCACCAACCTCATTGATGGGGTGAACAGGACCCAGGACGACATGCACGTCTGGCTGGCCCCCTTCACGCCAGGCAAGTCCCACTCCATCTCCATTGACTTCAAGCACTCTTGCCAAGTCGCCCTGATCAGAATTTGGAATTACAATAAATCTCGGATACATTCCTTCCGCGGCGTGAAGGACATCACGATGCTGCTGGACACACAGTGCATCTTTGACGGAGAAATCGCCAAGGCCTCGGGAACCCTGACGGGAGGTACAGTATGTCTGTAATCTATTTCTTGCCGAGGGTCTGCAGAACAAAACAAACTCACTGGCTAGCCAAGGACAGATAGACTTGGTCCACTTCTCACCCCTTGCAGCACAGGTGTGCTAGAGCTAAGCGCGTTTCAACTCCACTAAGTACCTGCCTTAGTCAGTTCCCCAGAACCTAAGTCTGAGAAACGGGATTCTTTGGAGGGAGTGCTTTCAGGAGAAACCTGGGGCAGCCAGGAGTGCAAGGATATGGTTTCAGGTAGAGCTCAGCCTCAGTCTGATCCCAGGGGAGCTCTGGAGCATAAATTGAAGGGTCTGTCCTGCCTTAAGGCAAAGGAGCAGGGCTTTGGAGCCCCATGGACCAGCCAGTCATTGGAATCGGGAACCCCAGGTTGGGGGTGTAACTCCCATACCATTCTAGGCAAAGAACCCCATAAAAAAGATCAGCAGGGATTAGGGGGGTGGGTGTGGGACCAACAGCATCCGCTACAGTGCTTCACCCACACTAAAGAAATGTTACTTGTTTGGTGACAGAGCACAGTGATTCTCATTAGATAGGTCCCTTAATCAGATCTATGCCCGTATGTGAATCCCACCGGCAAATATGTAAAGAATGAGGCTCACTTACCCAAATCCACAGCTGCTTGTGGTTTGGGAATGCAGAGCACAAAGGTTGATGGGTTTAGGTTCTTGGTCTATGAATCTCTGGGATTGGGGTGAGTTGACCCTTCTGTCTTCCCGGTAACCCATTCAGCCCCTGAGCATTTTGGAGACACGATCCTATTCACGACTGATGACGATATTCTCGAGGCCATATTCTGTTCTGATGAGACCTTCGACATTGACGTGGACAGCCCGTGTAGCCTGCAGTACGAGGAGACGCTGAGGAGGCCCAGCACAGCCGATGGCGACGGGGACGAGCGACCCTTCACCCAGGCCAGCTACTGGACCAATGACCGGGTAGGACTGGAGCTGGGGCTGGAGTGTACCCTCCATAGATTTCTTCTCGTAACTCCAAGTGGCACAGGAAGGATTAAGACAGATATGCTTTAAGCTGCTGCGCTGCTGTTTTGACATTTCCCACTTTCCTACTTCATTTTTTGTCCAGTGTGTCATATTTCATTCTCTAGCTATTTTTTATTTTTATTTTTTTTAACCGAAGTGAAGAAAGTATTCAAATTTTAATCAAAGCCAGGAGAGATCAGCTCTGTGTCATCTTTGTGATTTAGAGGGTGGCAGTTTCAGGGGGATTTTTGCTTTGGGTTGCGTTTTGATCACTCACTGTTGTTTTTGATGGAAGATTTAGAAATGCTTTTAATAGGCAGACTTACAATTAAAATAATGGTGATCATAGCGATGGTTTCTTGAGCGTGATCCATGCATGGTGCTGAGTGTCACTATGTTTAACCCTCATGACGACACTTTGAGCAGAGGCTATTAATACTCCCATTTAAGAAACTGAGGCTCACACAGGCAAAGTGACTCGCCCAAGGACGCATCATGAAAGAGTAACAAGGCCAGAACTTGAATGCAGGACTCCAAAGTTTATTCTTTAAATTGAGAAACAAATTTTTGAAAAATGAAAGATGACTCTCATGGCAAAGGAAATCCAAGTCAAGGACCAATAACCATGGTGAAGAGACCCCCAGGGTCTCCAGGAATGTTCCTGAGGACATAAGGAGAAAGAGGAGATGGTTAAAGAGAGAGGGGCAGAGGGATGGGAACAAGCCATAGGAGAAAAGGCTGGGCCTCGGGAAGGTCATGGCCAAGGCAGGGAGGCAACATGGCGTGTAGACCCCGCAGTGTTCACTGGGGACTGCACAGCGTTGGGGCGACAGGCGGGGAGTGGGGAGCCCAGTCTGCTGGAGTGTGTGTGCCCCTCCATGCTTCTAAGGAAAGCAGCTGCCACTTTGCTCAGACAAAAATTGCTAGTCCCTGGTTGCTGGTTCTGATTTTTTCAAAAGAAGCCAGAACTCTGGATTTTTATGTAAAATCCGTCAATTTTAAAATGTTGGAAATTCTTCAAATGTTTTCAAACCTTCTGTGGGCCACAAAACACACTTTGGTCTGTTCTTGACCCATGAGTCTCCAGTTGGGAGTTGACCGTAAGGTCTTTTATTTGCCCAGCATTTTCCAGATGCTGAAGGTCCTTGTGAGGGACACCAGCTGGACCCAGCCCTGTGAGGGTCAGGGAGGGATCCCAGCCCATCTCCTTGAAGACAAGCAGCTCGCTTCCTTCTGCATCGCAGCTTTCTCATCTGTGAAGTTGTGAAGGCAGGAAAATCACATGCAGGGTTGACACAAGAGACCCAAGAAGTGGGACATGCAGCCCACTGTGTGTGGACCAGGGCTGCTTCATCCTGCCTAACAGTGGGAATTGCCTGGAGAGCTTTAAAAATGCAGATCCCCCCACTCCCGCCCCGAGATTCTGATTCAGTGAACAGCCAAGGTTGGGAACCACTCTCTATGGTTCCAGTTCTTCCTCCCTCCCTTCCTCCTTCCTTCCCTCCTCCCTCCCTTCCTCCTTCCTGTCTCCCTTCCTTCCTCCAGCTCACTAGGTAAACATTTCTTGGGTTCTTCCCTGTTCAAAAAACTCTAAACACTGTAGCTGTTAGTAACAGGCTCTTCTCCTGCCAGTAAGAGCTGCTGGCAAGGACTCAGGCACCCACTGGTTTCTGGACCTGCCCATGTCACCTGTCACAGAGCTTCCCACAAAAGCACAAAAATGCAAGAAAAGACACAGGGATTTGCCTGGGCATGGGTTGGGCAGCGGTATCTGGAAAAACAGCCAGCTGTGTGGGTATCGCTAGAAACACCTCCTTTCCCTCTGCTTCTCCTCCAACCGGTATGCAGGTCCCGGAGCTAGAGCTGCCACCCACTTCCCCTGTCCCTGAAGTCACCACACCAGAGCCAGGCATCTACCATGGAATCTGTGAGTACCCTCTCCTGAGGCAGTGTAGGTGGAAGGAGGACCTTCAGGGGTTGGGGGGAGTTGTGGCCACTTGGGACAGGGTTTCCTCGGACAGTCGGGCAGGTTGTACACTGTACAGAGACAGCACTTATGGGGTAAATGGGGGATGAAACCAGACTGCACTCAGTTCCTGAGCCCACGCACTTCAGAGAAGGGTGCTTCTTTGCAATTTGCGCTCCTGGAGGAGCGCATTTTGCATGCAGGCACCCTATGTGTTGGCTGTAGCCCTGTCCCAGAAGGCTGCAGTGGGAGTCAGAGGAGCCCCAAGGCACTGTCAGTGCAGTGATTGGAATTGTCTCTTCAAAGTCAACGTTGAAGCAAGCGCGGGAGCAAGGAAACCCGCATTCTCCCTGCCCCAGGGGTGGGTGTGTGGGGCAGTAGGAATATGGGTTTCAGGCTTTCAGACTTCCTTAGAAGTTGGAAATCCAGGTTTTTATGTAAAATCTCCAGAATCTTAAATGTTGTTGGCTAATGTTACAGTGTTTCAAAATACCATGTGAGCCGCATAAAACACATGCTGTGTGTCTGGCCAGCGGCTGCCAGTTCGTGACCTGAGTCAGTCCCACCTGGGTTTCCTCCCTTCTCTTCCCATTCACCTTCCAGCCAGCTCCTCTTTTTAGTCCATGCCCACATGGGCACCTTTGCCCTCCCAGGGGCTCCCCAAGCCCGAGGTCACGACTGGCTGTGGCCTCATCCCTCTGTACCCTGTAAACAAGTCTCCATGGGCAGCTCCTGCAGTCCCCTTTCCTGCTCTTTCTCACCCCCTGTGCATGTCCTACTTCCAGTTTGTCTTCTGAAAACAAGAGATGTGGTACTGTCATGCTCCTTCCCCCAGCCCACCCCTGGAGCTAACAGCCCAAACAGCATGGACTGAGCTTAGGGGGTTCTCCAGCGGAGGTCAGTGAGCTGCAGCCAGGAGATGGCAGGCAGGTGGGAGTGCTGGCTGGGCAGAAGCCCCTGTCCCCTTCATCTAATGATTTCCCCAAAGAGGCTGTCTATAAATGTCTTTCCCACTGAACCAGTTCCTGACCTTTCTCAGAGATGTTATTTCAGTGCCTTTGGGAATTTTGCCCTGGAGTAGAGCTCAGAGACATTTTTATGGCAAGGAAAGCATAATTCTTCTGCTTCTCTTCTTAGCAAGAAGGCAGAAGAGCCTCTTGACCAAGCCCCCTCTGATCTGTGTTGGGGTCTGTGACTTCTGAATCTCGCCACTCTGACCCTTTGGGTTTTTTTCTCACTGTATCCAAAATCCTAAATGGGCTTCACCGGTCTGTGCAAATGGAGAGAGCTTTAATAAAGCAACCCAGGGGAATGCGTTGGGGTTGGTAAATATGGCCAATCCTATTAAGGTTTTGAAAGAGGATATATGACTTGCTAATTTACAGATGACACTAATTTTGGAAGTTTTGCAAATATCAGCAGCAATGAATAGGAAAGGAGCTGAGAGGGTTGAAACATGAGAGAGAAATAAAATTAATTTCCATTTGGATAAATACTAATTGATGCACCAGAGGAAATATTAGATATTAGCTCAAAAAGGAGAGTCATCACTTTCGGAGTAGCCCCAAATTCCATGGAATTGCAGTGCATCTGGCCAGGCAAGCAAAGAGATCACAGGCTTAGGGGAGTTCAGGTCACTGTCTCTTATGTTTTCACAAGGGGAGGTGGCATTCCTCCTTCACACTGGTCCTCAGACAAATCCACTTCCTCCTCTCCCTCCAGGCCTTCTCCATCTCAGGAATGGGACCCACAGCCACAATGACACTTGGGTCAAACACTTCTCTTTCCCCCCCTTCCATGTCCAGGCCTTCGAGAATCCTGGCAATGCTGTTTCCAAAACAGATCCTGAATCTGTCCACTTCTCCCCCATCTTCACCACTACTGCCTTTGTTCAGACTATTATTACTGCAACAGCTTCCTCCCTGGTCTCCCTAGAGAGTCCAGCTGAAGCAGGTTTTCTAAGATGCAAATCAGGTCATGTCACCCCCCTGCTTAAATACACAACCTGCCAGGAGCTTCCCATTGCAAAGAGAGGAAAATGCAAGTTTCTTGATGTGATCTAGCCCCTGCCTAACTTTCTGATCATGTTTTCCTCTACTCTTGCCCTTGGCCACTTGGTCCCAGCTCTGGGTCACATTTGTTCTCTCAGCCTAGAATGTTCTTCTTCCAGAAATGCAAAAGCATGGCAGACTCCTTCTCAATTCCCAGATCTCAGCCTAGATGTTACCTCGTCAGGGAGGCCCTCCCGGGCCACTCCCGTTCCTACTCAGTCACTCCCTATCCCATTGCTGTTTTAGTTTTTTCATAATATTCATCACTCTGTGGAACTACAGTATTTATTTATCTGTTATACGTTTACTGACTGTCTTTGCTAGAACAAAAGCTCCTTGAGTTCAGAGATTTTGCTGTGTTCCTTATCCCTACCTCTCCAATGCCAAAAACAGGGTCTGGTACATAGTAGATGATCGGAAAATTTTGCTACCATTGACTATGAATTTGGTAAAACCCAATAGTTTTATTTTGCCTCATTCACTTGCAGATACCTACTGAATACCTACTTTTCAATGAATCACGTGTTCAAATTTTTTTGAAAAAACTTCATTAAGTATTTATTTATCAGACACTGTTCTGGGCTCTGGAGATACATCAGTGAACAAAACCAACAGAGGCCTGTCCTCAGGGAGCTTCCATCATAGTGGGGGAGACTGATGGAAACAAATAAGCAAATAAATGTAGAATACACTGTCAGGTAGTATTAAGTGTTATAAACAAAACATCAAGCAGGGTAAGGGTGTAAAGAGTGAAGGAGGGGGTGCTACTTCAGCTCAAATTATTAGGGAAGCCCCTCAGGAGATGATATTTAAGCATAGGCTTATGATGAGAAGAAATGTGTCAGTTTTTGCTGCTGAACAAACCAACACAAATTTTAGCAGCTTAACACAACTACCATTGAGTCATGATTGGCTCATAAGCCAGTGGTATGGCTGGATCGTTTTTCTCACCTAGGCCAGGCCCTGTGTCCAATCTGCTGGTAGCTTGAACCTCAGCCGAACAATCTAGGACATCTTTGCCCAGGTGTCCAGCAGTCAGGAGGCTGTTGTCTGAGTAGCGGGCAACTGGTTCACAGAGTTCCTTCCCTAGATGCAGAAAAGAGAAGTCCAGCCCACGTGCACACATGCTGGACCTCTGCCTGCATCACATCTGCTTCTGCCCCAGTGTTCAGAGCAAATCACGTGGTCCAGAAATAGACTCCACCTCTGGAGGGGATAAGTGGCAAAAGCACATTGCAGAGAGGCAAGGACACGGGTGGGAGGCATTGGTAGCCATTTTGCATGCTTCCAATGCCATGAGAAGCTGATGAGCTGGTTCCATGCTGGCCCCACGCCTCTTCACCTGCCCCCAAGATGCCCAGAGCTACCTTGGCACCATGAAGAGCAGAAAGATCTGAGGACTGAGTTACAAAGAGTATATAGGGAGATGACAGAGGCATAGGAGAAGAAACCAAGCTCCAAGGAGGCAGTGACTTGGCCGCAAAGAAGTGCTTTAACCTCTCCCAGCTTCCAGTTCCTCATCTGAGCTGAAATAGGGCAGGACGAGATGATGTCCAGGCTTCCTTCTTCCAGTTCTACAGTGCTGGCATTGTGTGAAAGTTGCAAAGGCTGAATATTTTGAACTCAGCCACCTGAAAGGGTGCTAAAATAGGCAACAGATTCTCCAAGGGCAGAAGAGTTCATTGGGCTTGGTCCTGCTCCAGTGGGAGAAGTTCCAGCCAAGTACCCGACAGGGCTTGACCAAGGGATTCATTCAGTCTAAGATTTCTGGGCAAACAAGTGACTCACCTGGACTGTTTTTCCCAGGGCCACAAAAGGCCACTTCTAAATGGTCTCTGACGGAGCAGGGGTGAGATCAGGGGCAAAGGGTGGAGGTGTCGGAATAGGCATAGGTCACTCCCTTAACCCTGAATCCACATGAATCTTTATAATAGTGGCCAATTTGCATAAGATGTCAGTTTCCAAAGTTGGGGCTTACTGATGTCACTGCCTTCATTTTGTTACCTGTTTAATCATTCCATCTGTACTGAGCTCCTACTATGCGCTAGGCACCTTGCCAGGCTCTGAGGACACAGTGGTCTAGAAGAAGAGATGGAGTTTCTTCCTTAGGGAGTTAACCATCTGACACAGCAGATGGATGTTTACCAAATAATCACAAGGTCACAGTAGTGACCAGGGCTTGGAAGGGGAAGTGCACAGTGACATGGCCTGCTGTAATGGAGGGCTGGCCTGGTCAGAGAAGTCAGGAGGGCTTCCCTGAGGAAGGGAGCTGGGATCTGAAGGATGAACACGAGTTAACCAGGCCATGTGAGCTCCAGAGGGCAGAAACAGCATGTGCACAGGCCCTGGGTGGGAGAGAAGAAAATAAATATGAGTGGCTGAAAGACAGTCTGGTAGGGGTGAGGGTCCCTGTTGCACGATGAGGCTGGAGAAGTAGGCAGAAGCCAGATGGGGAAGGCCTCATAGGCCAAAAAGCGTGGGAAGCCACGCAGGGGTGTTAAGTGTGGGGTGGGCAACATGATCTGATAAGTGGAGGGCCATGTGCAGGTTTAAATGACACTAGTCCATTCAGCCTACAGACATTTCCTGAGCACCGGCAGTGGCCTGGGCCCAAGGGCCATCAAGAGGAATGATGCAGAGCCCACCCTCAAGGCACTTTGGTTGAGCCTGGGCCCAGCTGGTAGAATGCAGAGGCTGAAAATCACGCCTCTTCCATCTCCATCTAACATACCTCCTCCAGCGCCTCTAGTGTTGACGGGCCGCTTTTCATCCTGCTGCAGGCCTTCAGCTGAACTTCACCGCCTCCTGGGGAGACCTGCACTACCTGGGGCTCACTGGCCTGGAAGTGGTGGGCAAGGAGGGACAGGCACTGCCAATCCAACTACACCAGATCTCTGCCTCCCCCAGAGACTTAAATGACCTCCCTGAGTACATCGAAGACTGCCGGACCCTGGACAAGTAAGTGTTCATAGCAGCTTAACTTTCATGACAGCAGGGTTTCAGGGACCCTGTCCTTCTTCTTCAGACAGAAACATCAAAGGGCATCCCATATGTCACCTCCTCCCGTCCACCCTGTGAGGTCATGTGGTCAAGGGAAACCGAGGCTCAGGAAAGGGAGGCGACCCTCCCAGGGCCACAGATGCAGGTGGTAGGCAGGATTCAAAGCCAGGTGCTCGTGCTTCCAGATGCAGTGTGGTTTGTGTTTTCTCCAGCGAGCCTAGAGCCTCACACACAGCAGCTGTCTGCAAACCTCTGCAGCAGACAGCTCCGTGTTCATGCATGAGTGACCCACTCTTGGGAGGTGATTGCTGAGGATGTCTCCGCAAGCAGCTGCAGCTGTACTTTCCTCTGCACTTGTAAAATTTCATAAGCCAAGGTTGGGTCAAGTCCATAAGGTGACCCTGTAACCCACAGAGTGATGCTCACCCCTGCTCTCGACAGCCTGGGGCCCAGGCACTGCCTGGAGGTGTGAATCAGAGAAGTCTGGGGGAGTCAGAGGGATGGGAATTCAAATCCCGCCTGTGCCCCAGGCCATCTGTTAAGGGAGGGTCTTAACCTCTCCAATAGTAACAGTAATGATAATAGCAGTAGCTGATATTATAACTGCCATTTTTGAGCACTTATTGAATGCCAGGCACTGAACTGTACTGAGCAGGTTACAAATATTCATCCATTTAAGCCTCAAACAGCTCTATGAGGAAAGTACTGTTATTATCATTCCTACTTTACAGATGAGGAAACTGAGATGCAGAAAGGTTAAAAACTGGCTAAAGGTCACCCAGATGAGTTAAGTGGCATAGTCATGATTTGAACACAGGCCTGTGGGCTACCAGCATCCATGCACTTAACCTCTAGGTTATACTGTACCTGCCTTGGTCTCCTCTCATTAGAATGGGGACGATAATTCCCACGGCTGGGGTTGGGAGGGGTATTGTCATGTTGCAGGTGTGCCCCCTGCCCTGGCCCAGAGCATGTGCGGGGCCAGCAGTAGGCTCTTCCCTGCTTTCCTTTAAGGTGGCCCTTAGCTGTGGCCCTTATCCCCTGCTGTTGCTGGCTGCTGATGGGCAGCTCTGACCTCCACATCCCACAAGTCCCTCTCCTGAGTACTTGGACTTGGAACCCGTGGGCCTGGCTCCTGGCCAGCTCCAAAAGTGATCCGCACATGGCCAAGCTTGCTCATCCATAACACCCAGTTGTCACCCCTCTGCCCAGATCATCTGGCAGCAAATCCCAGTCCTGACAGCACTTGCTCTCTAAATATTTCTCTAAACAATAAGGACTTTAAAAAGAAAACATAATCTCATTTCAAATATAATACATTAAAAAGTTAATGATTCTTTGAATTGCCAGATATTCAGCAGGTTCATATTTCCTTTATAGTCCTCCAGCCCCTCACCCACTCTGCTTTTTTTTATTTGTTCTCTTGAATCGAGATCCAGATATGACCCATGCATTGTGATTGGCTGATGTGTCTCTTAAGCCTCCTGTAATCTCTAGGTGCCCTTCCTTCTGTTTCCATTTTTCTTGTAAATTATTTGTCGAAGAAACCAGGATTTTTGCCCTGTGGAGTTTGGATTTTGCTGGTTGCATCTCTGTGGTATTATTTAACCTGTTCCTCAGTCCCCTGTATTTCTGAGAAATTGTTCATTTAGATTAGAGGCCTGATCAGATTGAAGTTTGACCACTGGGGCAAGATGATGCATGCAAGTGGCCCTCTGGGCACATGTAATTCTGGTGGTCAGGACTTTTGTGACACTGGCAGCCAGTCATGCTCAGTGCCTAGATCTATTAATCCGTTAGGGGCTACAAAATGGTGACAGCCCTGTCATACTTTCCCTAATTTATTTGCCAACACTATTGCAATAAAGAGAGAATTTCCCTCAATTATTTGGTTACTCTGTAGCACAATTCAAATAGCCTAAATGCTTGATTCTCCCCCCCAACACTTTTTTTTTTTTCAGTTTTCAAAACAAGAAACTTCCTCTGACATCTTCTAAAATATTCATCTGTTTGTTTTTGAGTATCATTATAAGCTCATGGATTTAAACATACTGTATTTGAAGAGTTTCAGTCCATTACAACTTTTATCTTTATTAATGCTCAAACTGCTCCCTCGTGAATACTGGAAGCTCCTGCATCCTTTTAAAATAGTCATCTCTGACAGCTTTCTTGCTTTCTGATGGAACTGGATGTTCTGGGATCATCTTGTATATTTCTTGTCCGAGACCTGGAATTAGCCATTTCTCCAAGAAGCCCTGGTTCCTTCTAATGGGAAATGGTGTTTAGAAACCATAATCTAGCCACTAGGCATGCTTAACTAGTGGGTTTGCTATGAAGGCAGCCCCATTTCTAGGGCAGAAAGGTAATTGCTTTTGGAAGGAAGTAGAAGGTTCCCTAGTGGTAGTCCACAGTCAGCTTAGTTTCACAAACACCCCAGTGTTGAATTGCTGAATTTCCTCAGTTTTAAGATGCCAGCAATTGTGAGACACACCATCCATCAATTTGATAACAGCCTTTTACAGAAAAAAGAAACATCACCTCCTTGGATGAACACTTAGATTGTAAGATTTATTCCAGACCCAAAACTTTAAAATGTAAGAGGGGAAAAAAGTTTATTTTAAAATCTAGAAAATGTGGCAGCAGGCTGAGTTTCTCCCCATACAGCAGCCTCACAGTCACCAGGAATCCAGGGGTGTGGAGCTGGAGAGGCTCAGGAAAAAGGAAGGGAGACAGGAGGGGGTTGCCCAAGAGGCTGACCACTGGTCCCCTGAGTGGCAATGCCAGACACATGGGCCAGAGCCACAAGGACAAGGATCTGGGGTCTGAGTCAAGGCATGCTGGACAGTCCAGGGCAGCCAGACACAGGGCCCCTGTCTCCTTGGGACAGATACGGCAGAGTTGAGGAGGATGAGTCATGCAGGATGTCCCAAGCAGGGGAACAGAAACTGGCAAGGATGGAAGCACAGGGGGCTGAGGTGACGCGTTCAGAACAGTAGCTGGGAAGAGCACAGGGTGCTGGGGGCACCCTCTGATGGCCAGGGGCTCCCCAGGCTGCCCAGATCATGTGGTTATAGAGCATTGTCTGACCCGACCAGCTCTTATAGAGTCACCTGCCCCTTCTTGTCCTTGTCCCAAGCCAAGAGCAGCCGAGTTCACCCTGGAGCTCTAGTATCTTTCTCCCCCAGCATGAGAAGGAAGAGATACACTGCTTTCAAAATGTGCCATAAAGTCAATACAGCAATTTTACAGAAAAATTAGAAAAATAGAGAAAAATATTCACCTCTCATCATTACATTTGCATAGTCTCTCCTAGTCTTTGTCTTTATTTTACAGCATCATCATCAGTGTCCCTGCCATCCTGGAGCCTACCTTTTCCATGTTACTGCAGTGTCTTAGTCTCTTTTCTGCTGCTTTTACAGAATACTTGAGACTGGGTAATTTATAAAAAATAGAGGTTTATTTAGCTTATGGTCCTGGAGGGTAGGAAGTCCAAGAGCATGGCGCTGGCATCTGGCAAGAGCCTTCCTGCGTTGGAACATGGCGGGAGACCTCACGTGGTGAGACAGAGCAGGAGTGCTAGCTTGGGTCTCTCTTCCTTTTCTTATAAAGCCACTAATGCCATCATGGGGACCACCCTCATGACCTCATCTGATCCTAATTACCTACCAAAAGCCCCACGTCCAAATAGCATCAACATATGAATTTGGGGATTAAGTTTCCAACACATGAACTTTTGAGGACACATTCAAAGCATAGCATACATCCTCATGATTATCATGTTAACTACTGTACAGATTTACTTAACCATTTCCCTGTTTTGAGATCTTTTATGTTATCTTTTTTTTTTTTTTTTGCCAGTATAAATAACACTAATGAATATCTTTGTGCAGATAGCCCTTCCAACATGTTGAATAAATTTTCCTTAGGGGAAAAAAATCCCAGAAGTGAGAGCACTGGATTAAAGGATTCTGAAAAATAACACATTTACCACCTTTTTTTTTTTTAAGCCTGATGATTGCTTCACCGTACCTGTAACAGCATAGGCTATTTTTTTTGTTGTTGTTGTTGTTGTTTTAAATTTTGTCTGATTTCATAGATGAGAGATGACCCCTCACTGTTGTTCTGATTAGTCACAGCTCCCCCTACTGAGCCTGGTCCAGCAGGCTAGTGCAGGCAGGGGGCCGCAGCGGGGAGGAGTGGATGGGAGACCCACCATGGTCTCTCCCATGCCCACCGGGCTGCCGCCACATCGCTGCTCCATCCCACGGTGCACAGGTTAATCGACGGAGCCAACATCACCATGGAGGATGAGCACATGTGGCTGATACCCTTCTCTCCGGGGCTGGACCACGTGGTCACCATCCGCTTTGACAGAGCCGAAAGCATCGCAGGCCTGCGCTTCTGGAACTACAATAAATCTCCCGAGGACACCTATCGAGGGGTAAGCTGGGGAACAGCAGCCGTGCTCAGTCCACTGTCAGGGAAACAGCACCTTGATGAATGGCTGGCGTGGCTGCCAGAGAGGAGCATAAATCCTCCAGAACTTTCCAAATGGAGCCAGGGTGGGGGGTATATATCCAGGGAGAGAGTGAACTGCCGTTTCCTTCTGCAAACAGCAAATGCAGATTAAAGAGCCCAGGGCAGCCTCGGAACACTGCAGAGCCTTGTTTCTTCTGGTGCTGGGGGGGCCTCAGCAAGCCCTCCCCCCAATATGCAGTGGTCAGTTACATCCCTGATGTCCACCGAGCGCTTGGGTGGCCATCCTGCGCTGATGGCTTCACATGCACTCAGCATCTCACTAGACTCTCATCCCAGCCTCTGGGATACAGGTGTTATTACCCCCTCTAGAAGGGTTTGGGTTTTTTTTAATTTAAAATTTTTTAATTGACAAATTAAAAGTGTATATATTATGGCATATGACATGATGTTTTGTTTTGGTTTTTAATAGGCATTTTTAAAGCATTTTTTATTGCAACATGGTTGTACATATCTGAGGTACAGAGTTGAATATCAATACTCGTGTGTAATATATGATGCTCAAAACAGGACAATTAGTATATTCAACATTAGACAATGTAATCGTTTTTTGTGGTCCTTTACCAATTCCTCCCTTACCCTCCTTCCTCCCCCTTTCCCATCACTGGTAACCTCAGTTCTGTTCTCTCCTTTTGAAATTTCAATGTGTTATTGTGATTGTTGTATCTTTCTTTTTTTATTTATTTGTTTATTTTTTTAGCTCCCACTTATGAGTGAGGACACATGGATTTCTCTTTCTGTGCCTGGCTTATTTCACTTAACATAATTTTCTCTAAGTTCATCCATGTTGCTGTGAACGGCAGAATTTCATTTTATTTTATGGCTGGTAGTATTCCACTGAGTATATATACCACATTTTCCTTATCCAGTGATGGACATTTGGGCTGGTTCCAACTCTTGGCTGTTGTAAATAGAGCTGCGGTGAACATGGGAGTGCAGGTATCCCTTCGACATGTTGATTTCCATTCCTTAAGCTGAGGTTCAGAAAGGTTTAGTCACTTGCCCAATGTCACACAGCTAGAGTCCCCATGCAGGTCTGCCAGACTTGGAGCCCACACTCTTCCTCTCCACACTACATTCTTCTCTTGCTGGGTGTAAAAAAGCAGGAGGGCTTCCAAGCACTGCCTCTGTGGGAATGAGAAAAAGTGTATCAGAAGTGGCCCTTCCCACAGCTGGCCAGAGAGCTTAGTTGGTTAGAGCACAGTGTTCTAACTCCAAGGTCAAGGGTTCAGATCCCCACACCAGCCAGCCAACAAAAATAAAGAAGAAAAAAAGTGGCCCTTCCCATGGGCTTTTCTGACCTTGGGTGGCAACAAGTGAATAAACATTTGTTCCTTCCCATCACCTGAAAGAGATGATAAAGTCACCTAAAATAGAGCAAGCCTAATGTCAGCAGGGCCTGAGTCTGAATCTCAGCTGGCCACGTGGCCTTCTGCAAGTGACCAGCTTTCCCTGGGCTTGTTTCCTCATCTGTAAAATGAGGAGGGGGATGATACCTGCCTCAGGAGGGTTGGCATCACCTTTGCCCCACAAAAGTGACAAAATCAGGACTGTCCTCAGGTCCTGTGACCCCCCAGACCCAGGCTCCCCACCATGTACCATGCCAGGGAGTCTCTCCTATGGCACCTACAGGGTCTGAAGAATTGTGGTGCATTTACTACAGTGGGCTCAGCTCCTGATGTGGCAGGAGCTGAGCCAGCCATGCACTCTGGAGCCAGGGTTCCTTGAGTGAGCAGTTTACAAATCCTCCCAAAGCTGCCTGTGTCTTTTTAAATGCTCTCCCAGGCTCAGCACGTTGAAAAAGTCAGATATATTGGCATTATAAAAACAGCCTTCTTCAAGTTGTGCATTCAGCCTTTAAATTCCCTTGAGCAAACCCCAGTCTTTCCAGTTGAGCTTCCATGACCCAGATGTACCATCTGGAAACACTGGGCTCAAAGTCCCTTCTTCACAGATCTGCCTCCCACCAGCCTCGGTGCTGGTGACAAGTGGCCACGATGGGATGAGGGAGGTGGGGGGAAAGGCACGTAGCCTGGACAGGCACATCCCCAAGTGCAGTGTGGTGGGCACTATGACTCATGCCCACACCCCAGAGGCCCTGCTGAGCACGCTGGTTATAGGCCCCTGGCCTGTGGTTGGAAGCCAGGGCCTGGGAGATGGGGTTTCAGATGCCTTCAGTGGTCCCTGGGGCAAATTGCTTAGCCTCTCTGAATTCTAGTTTCCTTGGCTGTAAGATGGAGGTGGTAATAGAAGCCACCTCCAAGGGAATGTACAGAGGACAGATGGCCAGCTCTGCCTGGGAAAATGAGGGATGCTTCCTGGAGGAGGTGTTGGCCCTGGAGGATGGATAGGGGCTCCTGGGCCCGTGCTTTGCTCTATTACTGGGCTCACTTTCAGGTGACTCTGTCCACAGGGCAGACCCTGGCAACTCCAGGCTTCCATCCTGCAAGCTCCAAGACCACCAGAAGAAAGAACTCGCCTTTCAAGGCCACCCAGCAAACCCCAGGAGTTATGCTGACTGTTCTGGTCAGGTCGCAAGCCCAGCTCTGGGGCGTGGTGGGCATCAGCTTTGAAGAAAGCAGAAGGGGGAGATAGAGAGACAGAGGCCAAGACCTAGTGACAGCCACACCTGGAGCCAGTGATCCTGTTCTTTTCAGTTTTTGTGCCCTGAGAGGGACTGACACAGAGGGTCTCCCAAAGTATGAAGGAACAGAGGGCTCGGGGGCACATGAGTTACCTCTGAGACACAGGGCGGGTCCTCTTCCTTCCTTCCTTCTGCAGGAGGACTCCCTGCTTCTCCCGAAGGGGAAATCCCACCAGTTTGATTGCAGCTGCTAACCACATTGGTAACCATGAAGGTGTTGAGGAGAAGGTGTTGAGGAGAAGCTGATTCCAGAGGCTGTAGTCAGAGAGAGGGTGCTGGCTGTCGCTCCTCTCTGCCCACCATTGCCCCCCATAGCCACCTCAGACTCTGCCATTAGGGCTTTGATATTTACTGGTAGATTCCGGTCATCTGGCTGGAGAACTCTGACCTAGACCAGGGGGACACATTGGCCCAAATCCATATGAATTCAGCAAGCTCTTAGTAAGCACCTACAAGTTCCAGGCCCTAAGGCAGATATAGAGATGGTCCAACTTGGGTCTCTGCCATCAAGAGAGACCCAGAAAGCACTGAGGGTACTGCTTAGGTGGCAACCATTTTGTGCCAGACACTATTTTGAGTGCTTTACGTAAGTTAACTCATTACTGTGCCCATTTAACAGATGAGGAAATTGAGCCATAGGGAAGTTAAGCAATTTGCACAGCTACTAGCGTTGGATGTGGGAGGACCTGAGTCCATACCCTTGCTCTCCACATCATACCACCTCAAGCCGCTGCAACTGGTGAGGTGGGCGGGCCTGGGCCAACTCATGGGACACCCCTGAAACTTGTGATCAGGAGACTGGATGTGCATGTCTGCTGCAGCAGGGCCCTCGCCTGTCTTGTCCCCTACAAACTGCCCAGGCATGGCTCAGCGCCTGATGTGGAGTGGGGGTGACACTGGGCAGTGGAGCCCAGCCAGGTGGCTCTGGTCTGGGAGAAATGCCAGACCAAGCCATTTCTCAAGCCCAGAGAAGGGCTCTCCATGGAAAGTGCCCACAGCCGGCAGCACCCGTCCCAGCAGCACACGCCACTCCCCTCTGCGCTGGCTGCTTCTCTGCAGTCATGTTATTTCTCGTGTTTGCCAGGCCAAAATCGTCCACGTCTCCCTGGATGGCTTGTGCGTCTCTCCCCCGGAGGGCTTTCTCATCCGGAAAGGGCCGGGCAACTGCCACTTTGATTTCGCTCAAGAAATCCTCTTCGTGGACTACCTGCAGGCTCGACTGCTGCCCCAGCCAGCCAGGAGGTGAGGGGGAGTGAGCATCGCGAATGTCCCCTCCCGTCCACGGGCCCGCTTGCTTTGCGCATCACTCTGAAGTGTATGCCTAAAAGGTTTTGAAATGATGATCAAACACATCGCTTTTCAACTTGGTCATTTTCTAAAGCTCAGCCAAGCCTCTCCACAAGCCTGTGGGATATACCCGCCTTGTCTGGGGATGTTTGGGTTTTTCACAGTCTGGAGTACTTAAGATTTTAAATGCTTCGTTGCGCTTCCTGCTGGGAAAAGAGGCTACAGACTGCCTCGATTCCAGAAATGCCCGCTGGCTGGTTCAGGGAAGGGCCTTCTTCTCCTGTTTCTGTGTTCCTGATTTAGAAAGATTCAAAGAGAAAAACAGAGCCTAACATTGCATGGATTCACTGGGATTTCTTGGCCCCAGTCTCAGGTGCATTAAGTTCATAACAATTTGTAAATGCCACGTTAAGTTTATTCATTTAAACCCCCTGATGTCCAAATGCCAGAGGGCAAGCTCTGGAAATAAAATGAATTTCCCTCCGCTGTAGCCAAGATCGCTTCTTGGCCCAGTCACTGAGAACAGTCACTTAATCGTAACATTGCCCTTGAAACTGCAGAAAGCCGGGCTAGGGCTGGGGGCACTGACTGTGGAACAGGAGAGAAGCCCAGTGGGGAGGACAGGAGAGGAGGAGAAAGCCCTCCCTCCTGAGGCCTGCTCTGTGCCAGGGGCTTCGCATTCGTCCTTCGGGAATCCTCCAACAGCCCTTTGAAGTCAGGATTGTCATGCCCATCTTACAGATGTGGGAACTGAGGCCCTGGCTGGTGGAGCCCCTTGCTTGGGATCATGAAGCCAACACCTTCAGGGCCCCCCACCTTTCACTGTCCTCCCCTCTCCCTTCCCTCCTCCCACCCTGCTCCACACTCCAGCCCCTCTGGCTGTTTTCTGGGGCAAACACCAGCTGCCCAGCCCCTTCCCCCTTGGGGCCTTCACTCTGCTGCTCCTCTGCTCGGAAGGCCTGGCTCTGACTCTTCCCACAGCTGCCTCCTCCAAGAGGCCTTCCCAGACCACCCACCTGAGGTCGCCTGCCCCCACCCGCTCACTCTGCCCATCCAATTTACTGGACCTTACCTTGGCTTGTCATGGTTCTCAGCACAGCATGGACTCTCCTTGTCCGTGGGAGGCAGCAGAGTAGGGTGGTCACAAGAGTGGGCAGTGGGGCCAGACAAGCCTGTGTCACATCCCAGTTTCACCACCCCCCAGCCGCGTGGCCATGAGCCAGTGACTTCACTTCTCTGTGTTCTGGTTTCCTCATCCAAAACCCAGGGATCTAAAAGTGCACACCTCCTAGGGTTGTCCTGAGGAATAAAAGAGCCCGTACAGGGCAGCCCTGAGAACCTGCACAGCCTCATGCTGGCCTTGGCCGTGACTGTCATCTGGGCCCTGAGTCTCCCCCAGCAGAGCAGGAATGTCATGTGAGCAGGGGCCCCATCTCTTTCCCAGCTGCGTCCCAGGGAGTGCTACACTGCCACGTTTCTTCAAGTCTCTCGGCTGGGGAATCGCTGAGCAGTGCTTCTGGGCCATCGTGATCTTCTTCACAGTGCTGTTTTGTGTTTTCTCAGGCTCCACCCAAGCAGCCTGGAGTGTGCGAGCATGGACTACGAGGCACCACTGATGCCATGTGGCTGTATCCTTCTCTCCCAGCCCACCAGCACACCCAGGCCAGAGCAGTATCTACGAGGCAGCTGGAGCACCATGCAGGGAAACTGAGGCAGAGGATGGGAGGAGTCCCGGATCCTCAGACACACGGGATGCTGCAGGACTGGGGCAGCAATGCTATTCCAGATTCCACCTCCTGGCAGGCTGAGGTCACAGGGGCAGCACCCAGGGCTCTAGCTGGGAGGGGCTGGAGAAGCTGAAATGGACCCCAGGGACTAGACTGGGGCTATGCACAAGCCAGGAGGGGGAGGTAAGATAACGTGGCCCAGCACTGATCTCAGTGTGATGCCTCTGTTAACTCAGTCCGCACAGCAGCCCCATGCATCCCCATTTCACTGCTAAAAAAACGGAGGCACAGAGAGGCTAAGTAACTTGCCCAAAGCTACACAGCTGGGAAAGGGGTAGGGGCGGGTTAGTGAACACAGTCATCCTAGCTGTGAAGCCCACTGTCTAGATAGCCTGTTCTCCTGGAGGGATGGCCTCTGGCTCTGACCTTGCCTGAGAGCCACTCCTTGGAGTGCTGGGAGCAAGCAGGGGACAGGGCTGAGGAAGGTTCAATGCTCGGTTGTGTGTGTGGAACGGAGTCAGCAGTGGCAGGTCACCAGCCACGGCCCGTCCCTCCTGAGGCTGTAAAGCTCATGCGTCCCCCCTCCTAACCCCCACATACTGGAAAGGGATAGAGAAGGGCACAGGTATTCTGTTCCTGTCATTTTACAACCAGGGAAACTGGGGCATGAGACAGGGGAACGATTTGTTCAGCATCATACAATGAGTTTGCAACACAAATGTCTCTCCATCCTGCCAGCTCCCTAGAGAGCACCCTCCTCTCCTATCCTGTCTCCTGGGGCCTGGAGAAGGGTTTTGAATTCTTAAAGCACACATACGCATGCACGTAGTTTAAATTAAAGGAAGTTTGATGCCACCTATATTTTGATAGGCTTTAGTCTCAATGAGAGAAAAAGAATGTTCTCTCTTTCATCAATATAACCCCCCCCAAAAACTCCCCTTTATCTTTGTCATTGTTTTACTTTGTTCTCCAGAAAATCAAGGCTTCTCTTCCTTAATAACAAATCCAGTCATTTTCCAATTTCAGCTCCTGACCAGCTGGGGCGACCCCTATTACATCGGCCTCACGGGCCTGGAGCTGTATGACAAGCGGGGAGAAAAGATCCCATTGTCGGAAAACAGTATCCTTTCCAGGACAGGAGGGCTCTGTCTGGACTGGAGGGAGCATGGGAGGGTCCTACAGAGGGTTAGAAAAAAACTTGCATGTGGAGGAAAATGTCTCTGTAGGAGCCAGTGCCCAGGATTTAAAATGCCACTGGGCTCAGACACTGGCCTTGGGGGAGGGCAAAGCACAGAGCCACCAAGGCATCAGTAGCAGGAATCCCACAAGCCCAGAGGCCTGTGGTCGAGTGAATGAGCAAAGGCTGCCCACTACGGTCCCCCTCTCAGAGAGCCACAGGCACTTTGGAGTTCTAAAGGCTCTGACAAGGTCTGCAGGGAGAAACCTATTGTACTGCGTTCAAGTCACAATGTCCTGAATTTATTAACCATGGAACCCTTTGCTCATGGTATGCCTACACCAGAATTTGCAAACTGTGAGCCCAGTGGGTTTTTTAATTTTGTAAATTAATTGCTAATATTTTTAAAAGTCAGGTTTCACATGAAAGCCCCAACCTCCAGCTTCTCTTGAGAACTTGGCACCACGAGGCCCCTGGTGAAGCATAGCGATGATGGCTGGCCCTGGTATCCGCTGCCCTCTTCCCCAAGCACGTCCTTCCAGTTTGCCTCTGTCCCCACTCCTCCCCGTTGTTACCTGCCAGGCCCCTAAAACATACTGTGATTGTTCTGAGGGCTCGCTCTGTGCCAGTCGCTGTGGCAGGGCTTGTCACGGGCTCCTCATTTGCCTTCACAGCAGTCTTATGAGGTGAGTGCTGCTGTAATTCCCATTTCACAGATGAGGAGCCTGAGACACAGAGAAGCTGTGTAACTTGTCTAAGGTCACACAGCCAGAGTCTGGCTCCAGACACTGCCTCTTGACCACTGAGCTATCTTGCCTCTCTTTTGTGTAACGTGCCTGACCCCTCTAGGCTCTCGAGTCTGGGATCCCTGACCCACCACAGTTAGGGAAATGTCAGAGCAGGTCAAACCCCAAACCTGCACTTTTCTGCTTCCCCTGGTCACACATACACGCACGCACGTGCAATTTAAAGAAACTTTGATGCCATGTGTATTTTGATAGACTTGTCACATGGTTCATCATTTGACCTCACAAAAAGTTTGCCTTTTCAGCTGGAATCCATGATTCTCAATGTTTTTGATCATTCTTAGGGATGCTTTGGATGTACAGGCCCCACTAATTTTATCAACAGGACTCACATCTGGCATCCTCCAAGATCCTCACATCAATGTTGGGACATAGAAGTTTTTATACCCATTTTACAGATGAGGAAACAAGTTCAGAGATGTCATGTGACTTGCCCAAGCTCTCACGGGTCCTAATGGCTGAGCCAGAGCTGGAGCCTGGGTTCTGCCAGTCGGCTGAGTAGCAACAGCTGGGTCTGGCTGCCCCCAGTCCCCTGCCCATGGCCATGGGGACTTGCATGCCAAAGCAGAAGCCAGCCATCACCCTGTTCCCTTCCAAAAGAAGCCCCCTGCAGTTTCCTCTCCACTCTCCCGAGCAGCAGTGACATTTTTGTTCCTGAAACCCCTCATTTCAGCGAGTCCTCTGTGTTGTTTCCTCCCCTTCATATTTGAAACTGGCCACCCCTCCCAGACACACATGCCCCCCACACACACACTCATTTCCACAGAATATGCCTAATTTAGCTGTCACTTCTCCCACTGCCCGCCAGCTCAGGTGTCCCCCTGAGCCATGTCGTCAGTGTGATAGAGGCTGGCAGCTCCCAGAGTGGCACACTGTGCCGAGCACATGACTTTTTGGTTATGGCAGCTTAGACACCTCCTCAGATATCGCCGCCTTCCCTGACAGCGTGAACTCCCTGGAGGGCGTGTGCGGGGACGTCCGCACCCCTGACAAGCTCATCGACCAAGTAAATGACACCAGCGATGGCAGACACATGTGGCTGGCTCCCATCCTGCCAGGCCTGGTGGGTTCCAGGGGCAGCAGGCAGGGGACTTTCTGTCCCTGGTCTCAGTGACACATCCTTCTTCCAGGCCAAGTTCATCTCAAAGAAGTCACAGGGCTTGGGAGCCATGAGAAACATTTAGGTCCTTGCTAATATGCCTGATGGGTCAGCTCTTCTGGGCCAGCAATTCCTTCTCTGCACTCTGGGAGTGGTTATTCTAGGGGACAGCAGGGGGACATGGGAATCTGAAGCCAGGAAGCCCAGTGCAGCAGGCTCGAGGGCTTGGGATCTGCTGGTCCCCGTGAGCGTCCCTCTCTGGTCCTCTTTCTACCTCTGCTGTCCTCTGTGGTCCACTCTGGCCCCTTGCTCCCCCCCCCCTCTCTCCATGCTCACCGTTTCTGCCCCTTCTTCGTGTCACCAGGCACGTGACCCCAGCTTGGCCCCCAGTCTGCCTGCTCAGCTCTTCCGACAGCTGACTCAGTTTCCCAGATCTCAAGCCCTGCACTTGACCCTGCTTATCTTTTTGCTGCAAGTCCCCATGGCGAGCCTAGAGGTGGCCGTCACCACCTGGGCCTGGATGACTGGTGGGGAGAGAGCAGAGAAGCCAAGGGATGGGGACAGGTTGGCTTAGCCCCCCTGCAGCCCCTCACCAGGGGCCGGATGCCTGGGTAGAGATGCACAGAGGGGCCTGGGACAGCCACGTGACATTGACATGTCCCTTTTCCACCCATGTGACTGAGTGGGAGATAAGGGGGACATTTTCTTCAAGTCACCTTCAGAAGGGTCAGCATGAACACTTCTACAATTGATATTTTCCAAAGGCCGCCCCTGACCTGGGTCCCCCACGAGTGTCCCTCAGTTTCTCTGAGCCAAGGCTGTCCCCTTCACCCTTGCTCCACAGCGCATGGAGGAAGCACAGCACTTAGGCTGACTGCAGACTGCTGGCCTGCGGGCAGGCATTAGCCACTGTCATTGGGAGGCCTTTGGGTGTGGGCAGTTTCTCCAGCCATAAGACGCAAACATTTGCATCTGCTTGAGCCCCATGGGCAGCTGAGTTCGAGGACCCCCATCCTGACCTTTCTGTTCCCATGGTACACCCGGAAGCTGCCCCCCTCCACCCCCTGCATCCCACCCCCAGCCCAGCTCGCTCTTGGGGCATGCTGAGGTGGCCACAGGCTGAGAGCCAGGACCTGGGGCAGGCATGAATGCGTATTTCTTCACTCGATCCCACAAGGGACCCCTCGTATCTGAGAGTCCTTGGTTAGGGTGGGGAAGTGGGGAAGCTGGCTGAGGCTGTCAGGTCCTGCTCTACTGGCTGGATTCTGCCCCTGATCTGCACAACCCCCTCTTCGCTCCCCCAGCAGAGGTTCGAAGATATAGGCTGAAAACTACCCAGCAGGGCCTGTGGGCCCCTCTGTTTTGCTTTTCATTTATGATTCAGGGAAAGGACAGACCAGAGTCAGGGCCATGCCAAGTGCCTGGGGGCAGTGTTCCTCTACTCTAGAGTTGGGGACCGACCCTTTGGCACATGGAGCCCCAAACTGTTTCTATGCCTGGCCTGGGGGAAGGCCAGGATGTTTCCAGTTTTCCACTGGTATTTAAATGAAGGCCATACTAGACCCAAAGAAACAAGCCTTCAAGAGCCAGCTCAGCAGTTTGTTGCAAACGCAGGCACACGTGAGCTGACTCAAGATGGGCTCCAGGAGATGAAAGGCGGTGGAGCTCCAGGCTGGCCAACGTGGGGCCTGTCCCCTGCCCACGCCTGGCACCCCCACCCAGCCAAGCGCCTCTGTTTCCAAACATGCCACTTTTAATTAGCTCCGCTCTCTGACAGGTGAACCGGGTTTATGTGATTTTCGATCTGCCTACCACCGTGTCAATGATCAAACTGTGGAATTACGCGAAAACACCCCATCGCGGGGTGAAGGAGTTTGGCGTAAGTACTTATTAGCTGGGTTTTTTGAGATAATTATGCTCGTTGGTAATTAGGCCGCTGGCAATTATCATTTGTCGCAGTTTGATTTATTTCTCTCTATTGCAAAGTGAGACACAAATGCCTGGTCCTCAGATGCAGGGAAACTTGCCACTAGCCGTGAATTCAAAACCTCCTCGAGTGACTGGGGAGGCCGCTCTGGGATGGGAGAACGGGGACCCTGGGGTCCAGAGACCCACGTCTGCCTCCCCACTCTGCCACTGTGCTAATGGTGTTTAAGTGCTGGAGCCTCAGCATCCTCGTGGGTACGTGGGGCTGGCAGCAGGTGCCTTTCCCAATGGTTGTGAAGATCTGAAATCCACGCAGCCTGGGCACTTGGTGTGACACCCACCTTCTGGAGAAAGCCGTGGCTCAGAGCAACGACAGGCTTTGCCCAAGTCAGTGGGGTGTGGGGGGTCCATCAGCCCCTCACCTGTGTCTGTCCAGCTCCTGGTGGATGACTTGCTCGTGTACAACGGGGTCCTGGCCATGGTGAGCCACCTGGTAGGGGGCATCCTGCCCACGTGTGAGCCCACGGTGCCCTACCACACCATCCTCTTCACCGAGGACAGGGACATCTGTCACCAGGAGAAGCACACCACCATCAGGTGCGTCTCTGGCCCAACCTAACAAGGATGGATGGCAGGGACACCAGCCTGAGCCTGATCGAATCTTCTGTCTCGTCCCTCCCCCAGTAATCAAGTGGAGGATCAGGATGTCCAGATGATGAATGAAAGCCAAATCATAACCAACTCAAAAAGGAAGCAGAGCACCGTTGACCCAGGTCAGTGTCGTTTCTCTGCCCAGAGTATCCCAGCCCGGGCGTGTGGTCTGAGTGGAGGAGGGACAGGCAGCCTCACCTGCCTGCTCTCGCCCCTGCCTGCCTACAGATCCTCCCCTGCAGGGGGCTGTGGAGGGGCCGATGGGGGCAAAATCTTGGGAGTGGCACATGACCTTCCTGCCACAGACATCTGTAAGCCAAGGGCTGAGGGACAGAAGGGCAGAGCCAACCAAGGGCAGAAGCCCTGTGCATGGGAGACTAGTAGAGGAGGCCAAGGCGAGGGCTTCCCAGAGGAGGTGGTGTCGGAGCTGGATCCAGAAGGATGTGCACGTGTGCCAGGCCACATGGGCAAAGGCCTCGAGGGTGGCATGGCGGAGCCCGCACCAGGCAGGGGCTGTTCTCTAGGGCTGTGAGCAGCAACCCAGGAAGTTTGGATTTCACCCCTCAAAGATTCGAGGCTTAGTAACTCCAGTCCCTCTGTGCTCTGCCTTGACAGCCTTACGTCCCAAAACTTGCATAAGTGAGGAGACAGCAAGACGGTGGCGGTGCTGACTGGTGAAGGGGGGAGAGCTGGCCCTGCCAGCCAGTGTGGGGTTCTGTCACTGGCCTTCTCAGCAACTATGTCCCCCCACCCCAAGTCCTCAGTGTTGGCCAGCCAGGACCACCAGAGCTAGAAGAGAACCGCAGAGTGGAGGGAGCCCACTAGGGAGGGGGGACGTGGGGGATGACACCCTGGAAACTACAGGAGGGACAGACGGGGAGGCCAGGGCATGTGTGGCCTCCAGCAGTCCCCTGCAGTTCTGAGCTGACTGCAGGGAGCCCGGGACCACTCAAGCCTGGCTGACCCTAACTCAGACCAGGACAGTGAGGTGCACTGGGGAGGCCTCTCTTCCAGCCTCCTCAGGGCCCAGGGCATTGCTAAGCAGGGCAGGGGAAGCCCAGGCCTCCAACGCCAATGTGCCACAGGTACACTGCACGGGACTCTGCCTTCACAGGCCCACAGAGAGGTGGCCAACACCCCCCTGACCCCTGCATGTTTCTGCCCATTTGGGGACTGGCAGAGCTGGCTGAGGAGGTTGGATTGTTTCCTGGACCCAGGACTGCCCCCACCCTCTCACTCCCCAGCTGAGGAGGGGGCCCCCTCACAGGAGCCAGTCCTGTAGTCCTGCTGAAGGAAGGCAGTAAGCTGGACCCACCCACCGTCCACTCTGGCATGCCAGGCCACCATGTCTACAGTGCTGCCAGGCCCAGAGAGGGTGGGCAGCCCAGCAGGCTGGCAGCGTCAGACCCCAGAGGGCCAGCAGAATCCACCCAGATGCTCTCTGGACACAGGCATGGGGGTGTGCACGGGGGGGGCGGGTGGCAGAGGATACCCACCACCCTCGAGCCCCAGACACCCCCCACCGCCCCTTCCACTTGAACCTTGGAGGAGCGTGGCTCTCACCGCAATGCCCCGCCACTCCCCCACCACTCCCCCAGGCCAGGTGGCGGGCTTGCTTGCTTTTGCCCATGCCCGTGCCCTTGGAGTCAGGCGGCGAGGTTCTTGTGGCCCAGGCCCCAGCCCCTGCTCCCTCCCCCAGCCACTTCCCAGAGAGCTGGAAATGTGCCTTGCCCCCCAGCCAAGTGGAGCCCAGAACGCATCTATTTCCATCTATGTAACAAGCTCAGATCAGGGACCTAATTGGTTTCCCAGTGGTGGGTAATTTCTCGTTCCAAATATTAATCCGTTGTTTTCCTGGCGCCTGGCCCAGCCCGCTGCAGTACTGTACTCGAAGTACGTTCCTATGCAACGAGGGCCCAGCAAATACTTTTATGAGCTTTGCAACCTCTGCCGAGCAGCTATGCAAATGCGCTTTCCATTTGGAGCACGGGGCTGATGTGAAGATAAGAATTGTTTCTCCCGGAGAAGATACATCATCTCTGTAGCTCCCAAGCCCCTGGCTCCTCTGCTCGGCTCCCAGATGTGGGAGCACCTCCTGGGCCTCTGGGCTCCCAGGAGAGCTGCCACCTGGGGTAGTAAGGGCTGATCAAACCAGCTCTGAGGACCAAAACCAGTGCCACTGCTTTAAAGAGAGCCCAGCTACCCATTCCTGCCCAAGGCTTGAGTACAGGTCAGATTTGCTGAGGAGATTGCACAAACGCTATGCACGCCCTCCCAGAACCTCAGTTGATGTTTATAGTAATTGTGTGTACCGTGCAGTTTGGGCGGAGGGGGGATGCTGTAAAGCATTAACTCTAAAATAAATTTCTATTTTTTTCTCTTGCAAAATCAATAAAAGATGTTATTAAGACTAGAGTCTGATGCATTGGATTTGGGGTCAGATGGAGGGAGCCCGTGCTGCCTTCAAGGCCTGGGTCCGAGTTCACTGGAGGCTGGCTGAGCTACACGGGCAAGGGCCCTGTCTGAGCTTTCTTGTCCCCACCTGCAAATGGGGTCATGATCCTGGCCTGGCATACTCGATGGCATTATCATGCTGTGGAAACAGATAACAGTAGCCCATACGTATATAGTGGTTATTACAAGCCAGGCTGTAATTCATTTGATCCACTAACAACACTGTGGGGTAGGCACTGTTATCATCTTCATTTTACAGAGAAGGGAGCGGAGGCACAGAGAGGTTGTGTAACTTTCCAAGGACACACAGCTTCAGAAGCTATTAGTCATGGCAAAATCCTGAGGGAGCTGAGGTGGGGGTGACGATCCTGTGGGTCTTTGGCCCTGGGGTCTCCCTTCCCCACGTGTGGGTCCTGGAACGCCAGCCCCAGACACCTGATCGCTGGGCCTCCCTCCTGCTCCCATGGCCCTGCTTCCAACAGTGGGGAGCGTTGGAGGCTCTTGGCTTCTGGGAAAAGCAGTCCTGGAGTGGGAAGAAGGTTCAGTTGAGGAAGGGTCTAAACTGCAGCTCAGGTGCCAATAATAGTAGTGGCACCAGGTAAGAGGGTCCTTTGGAAACCTCTCCTCCCTATACTGTCCCGGTGAGAGGAGACACCCTCTGTCCAGCCAGGAAACGCCTGGCCCCAAGCATGGAGGGAGAATGGCAGAGCCTCTGGCCGGTCACTCCTGCCCCCTGTGTCCCTCTGAGTTCTACAAAGACAGAGGGGCCTGCTCTGCCCAGCCGCCAGGTGCTGGAGAGCAATCACCCTCCCTCCCTACCTGCCTGCCTCCATGGAGGTATCTCTGGGTCACCCTGGAGACCCTTAAGGGCAAGCAGGCCCTTCAAGCCCCTGTCTGTGGGAGTGGAAGAACAAGGGGATGTACCCACATCTCAGCCTCATGATGAGCCTCTCCAGCCACCAGCCAGAGCCCAGAGCTGAGCCCATGATCAGGGCTGTGGTCAACTGGGCAGCTCAGCTCCAATGAAGAGAATGGGTAGTCTAACTTTTAAATGTTGGCTCAACTTAAAGAAAAAGCAAATATCCACTGAGTGAGCCGGATAAAACCTGCCCACAGGCAGGCTCTGGTTGGCTCACAAGTCCTGCGTGGCCTGCCCTCCATCCCAGCCCTCCCCCACCGAACATCAAACATCAACCTCAACATCAGCATGAACATCTGCCTGAACATCAGCCTCAACATCAGCCGACCCTCCCTTCCTGCCCCCTCCCAACCCCAGGGTTCAGTGAATGCCTCCTTCCCTCTCCTGGGAGGTAAAAGGAGAAGGGATCGTTCCTGGCCCCTCGGCCCCCATGTGGGCAGAAAGACAGCGTCAGTCAAGTGTCCCTTTGGGTCCTGGAGGTGGCAGCCACCCCTTCAGCCTCTGTGGGTGAACAGAGACCTCCACATCCTGCTGCTTCCCGTTCCATGCAACCCTCCCCCCAACCCTGGGCTGCAGTGGGCTGGGGCTTGCTGGTGTGTGTCATTGAGTCAATCTCGGCTACAGCTGACAGGAGGGTTCAGGAAGAGCAGGCATGGACTCTCAGGGGAATCCCCCCTCAGGCCTCTGTCCCTCGGGGACCTGCCTTCTCTGTCCAGCAGTGGAAAGGACCTGCTTCGCTTTCTTCAGGGTTGGGTAGTTTATCTGCAGACAGTTCAGCACTGTCACCACTGCCTCAGAAGGCCTCAGAAGGCCCCCCAGAGCCTGCCAGGTCAGGTTCTACAGCCAGGCCAGTGGGAGCTGCCCCACCCCCAAGATGTGCCAAGATGTCGTGGGTCCCTCCCCAGGCCTCACCTCCCACCTCACCTACCCAGGACCATCCCTTTCTGAGGCCTCCAGGCCCCACATGGCTCTGTGTGAATCAGCCTGCTAGGTTTGGCTGACTGTGCCAGTCTAGATGATGTTTAATTTTTCAAAATTAGTTGCCTTCATTTATTACCAGGTTTCATATCAAAATTCAGATTCCCTGCTTCTCTGGAAGGATGGGAAGATCTGGTCCCACATTCCCAGCTGTCCTCTCCAGATCACCACAGTCCCCACCAGCCCCTTTTGTCCCTCCCTTGGCTGCCACCCTCACTTGCATGATCTTCACAGCACCTGGTCATGTGAGTTTGCAACTCCTGAGATTGGGGCAGGGAGCAGGGGGGACTTGGGGACAGAGCTATGGGGCCCAGCCCCCCGTGATGATGTCCCAGCCGCCCAGGCAGGCAGAGCACTCTCCTGGCCCTGGGACTCCAGCCTCATGTGTCCCATCAGGCAACAGGGTCAGGCGGGGGTGGGAAAGGCAAGGGGATCTGCCTCCATCCAACATGTTGTGTGTCCCCAAGTGCCCTGGGGGTGTCTGCCTGACTGTGCTGACTGTGGTGTGTCCTGGATCTCCACGTGCCAGGTGGCATTCATGAGACCACTTCCAATCTCCCAGCTTCCCTGGGAAGCTGCTCTATCACAGCCCCTGTCAAAGGGGCGGCCATGGGGAGCCATATTTTGTAATAACAACAACAAAAATACATACATACATAAAATATGTACTAAGCCCTCACCCTGTGCAAATGTTCTGGGGTTCATCACTGCAGGCACATATTGGTGATGTCACTGAGAACTTAGCTGCAGCTACCGTTCTCCCCAGCACGCCAGTGATGGCACGCAGTGGTCCTGGGGTTGGCTGGCCTGGGTTCAGCACTTCCTGGCTATGCGACCTTGGCAAGTGACATTACTACACCTTGGTGCCTGGGCTTCCTAACCCAGGCTCAGGGGCAGCAGCAGTACCTGCACCATGGAGTTGTGATGGGCGTCAGTGAGCTCCAGCCCTCCTGAGAGGGGAGACACGTGCTACACTTAATGATTACACCCATTTTACAGGTGTGTAAACTAAGCCTAGGTTAGAGAGTGACCCTGGGGCCACGATGTCATTCTTGGGCCTGGCTCTTCACCAGAGCAACAGGCCACCACCTCCCACCCAACCCCTTCCAGCCTCAGCCGATTGGCCCACAAAGGGCACTGGCCTCAGAGCAGCCGACCCATTGGTGGAGCAGAAGTGGATGTCCCGCCCCTCCTGGGTCAACCCTTTCCCCTGCTCTGATTCACTCCCCTGCCCTGGCAATGGAGTCTCCTCCAGAGCTCGCCTCTGCTCCCTAACCCACCCTGCCTGCACCTCCCGTCCATACACACACCCGGAAGTTCCCAGGAGGGCCAGGAGGGCAACAGGAGAATGGGCACACAGACCACAGAACTCCCAGGCAGAGGCCCCTCCCTGCCCCACACCCCAGCCAGTCCTGGCAGCTGCCCACTCCCCTGCCAGGCCTGTGGCCACCAGCCCAGGCACCAGCCTCCCTTAAGGCAGAAGCTCAGACAGTGGCAGTCCAGGATGAAATGTGACCCAAGAAGCAATTACCAGGGTAAAGGGAGCTTGGCCGTGCTCGGGACAGGGCAGGGGTCCCACGCACTGATTTCCTGTGTGTCCATGCAGTAAATCCCCACGCAGAGGAGATTGGATTTTCCTCATGACTGATGGTCCCGCCGGGCTGAGTTTGTCCTCAATTCCACAGACAGCTCAGGCCGAGGCAGGCGTTGCACTGGTGCACTGGAGCGGCTGGTCACTGCCCCACAGCCCCTGGCGAGGGATCTGAAGTGATCTTTTTGTTACTTAGGATTATTTGCATAAGCTGTTTCTTCCACTGGAATGTACATTCCATGAGGTGAGGATGATGGCTTTCTTGCCCACGGTGGCAGCTCCCATGCCCGGATCAGTCCCTGGCATACGCAAATCCCTCGGTAGCTAGTTCCTGATGAACAGGGCCCACAGCAGGGCTGCCGTGGTCTCAGGTCTAGCTCCACAGCCCCAGGTCCTGCCTTCTGTCCCCACTTCAGCCCCCCCTAGCAGCAGCTCTTCCCAGGGGATGAGCCACCCCCAGTGTGCTTTGTCCTCGGGCCTGGCTGCACGGACGAATACCCATGAATCAAGCTGACGTTTCCATTACCCAAGGGAGATGAGCGTGTGGCCAGGACAGGCTGGCGATGGCGGGGGCAGCGGGGACGACTGCTCATTACAGACAGCCAACAGCCAAGGAGGACGTCAGCCCGGCTACTCCAGGGCCTGGGCCTGTCCATCAGCCCGGCCAGGTCCCTCTGCACCTGAGGAGCAAATGAGAGAGCAACGAGCACGTGCAGAGGGTGTGTGCACAGGGCCAACAGGAGCACGGGTACGGCTGAGCACAGTGTAAACACGGGTAGCACACAGGTGCGTACGAAGTGCTGACTTGTGCTCATGCAATGGCAGTGGGGGGGGGGCGGTCAGCACCTTTGACCAAGGTCAGCCTGATGTTCGTGTGTATGAGTGACTGGGCCATGGTCAGGTTGGCATGTACACATGAGCCCGGGCATGTGGATACAGAGATGCCAATGCCTGCGCCCAGTGAGAACGGCTTTGGGCCGCAGGTCAGGCCAACGTCTGGTCAAGACTGAAAGGCTCCCCCCAAAGTCATCATCACCATTCCATCAGTGGCCAGAATGTGTCCCCTTAGTGCACGGATGGCTGGCTGGGAAAGTTGCTTGCAGGGATGGCAGGGGGTGCCTCTTCTTCCCCATCCAGGCCTCTGCGTGCTCACCCAGGCACCCCCTGCCTTCAAACCGACTGGTGCCTCCCTCCCCCCAGATTCAGGCCCATGGTGGCATTTGCTCCCTGAATGAAGATAACCCTGGAAGTAACTCTCCATGACCCGCTGGGATTACTCACCTGGCCTGCCAGGAAGTTCTTTTTATCTAACCAGCAGCCTTCTTGCTGCAGGCTCCATGAGACTGGAAAAGAGCTAGTTCTCTGTCCTCACCCAGGAGGTGACAAGAGGAGATAGGAAGGCTTGAAGCCTGAGTAGCCATGATCTTCCTACCTCTTTCCCTTCCCTCGTGACAATGGCCCTCCCAAAGCTGTCCACATACCATAATCACATACCACTTACATGATTATTTATTTAATATTTTTCTTTAAGCCAACTCTTTCTTTTTACTTAAATGCTTATTTTGGTTTCATCCTAAGCAATAATGTCTGTGAAATCATAGCACTAATGTGCCCATTATACATTTTTTTCTAATACACATTTACATAAACACAACTATTAAAATAGATTAAAATTTTGCCCGTGTGTCAACTAAAATCATCTCCTGGACCTCCTGTGGTCCACTCACTAACTTCAGGATGCCAGGAGGGAATAAAGTGCTCCAAGATAGATGTCTGGTGGCCTGGGCCAGATTCCTATCTTGACACAACCCTGCCCAGCCTCTTGCAGGAAGCCGAAGCCTGAACTCCTTGTCCTGACATTCAAGGCCTTTGTAACTGGGCCCCAATCTCCCTCCAGGCCCATCTCCAGGCCCACACAAAAGGTCCTCAGTATTTACTGGATGAATAAAAATGAATTAACGAGTCACTCACTTGATTAATCAATGCACGAATGAATGAGCACACACCTCCACTGGAGGGGCAGGGGCTGTCCCCTGGGCACCTGAGACTCAAGACATCTGAACCTGAAGTCTCCACCTCATCCCCCACTCTCGACCTCATAATCTGAGAGTCACTACAAAGTACCACATCAGCTCATCCAAGACCTGCTGATTTTTCCCTCCTACGATCCCATCCCCAGGGCCAATCCCATCCCCAGAGCCACTTTCCTAAGCCAGTTACTTCGAGTGTGGCAGGATGAAGAAGGGAGAGGCGTGTCCACACCTATTCTCTGCCCAGAGCTGCGGTGATCTGCCTACAATGCACACTGGGTGCATCTCACTCTCTTAAAGGCATCCAGCTGCCCACCGCCCCCAGGATACACTCTGCGCTTCCTAACAAGGCTTCAAGTCCCTTGTGGTCTTGCTCCACCAGCCCCTGCAGCCTGATTTTCCACCCCCTCCTGCCCTCCCTTCTCTCCACACCTGCCATCTGGACTATTCGTAAGTCCTATAACGTACTTCCCCGCTATACTCTTGCCTACCTGACACGTCAACAACCTCCATGTCTTGGCTAAAATGTTATTTTCCCAAAGAAGCCTCCCCTGACTACCACTCTCCCCACCCCCCAGCAGGTGCTGCCTTTGGGATTCCACAGCCCTGACTTCCCCTCACTGTCATGACAATAAACAACAGCAAAGCATTCACTATGTGTCAGGCTCTGTTCCAAATGCTCACATACATTAGCTCGTGTAATCCTCACAACAGCTTTAAGAGGTAGGCATAATAATTATCCCCATGTAATGGATGAGGAAACTGAGGCACAGAGAGGTCAAGTAACTTGCCCAAGATCACGAGTCAAGGAGGTGGAATCTGAACCCAGGCAGTCTGGCCCCAGAGCCAGGCACCACAGCACTTCACACACTGAACTATTATTTATTGTCTGTCTGTCATCTGTCCTGCCCATCTGTGAGCTCCATGACAATAGACGCCTCCTCTGAATACTTCAGTATCCTGTCTCAAGTGCCTACCACAGGGACACAATGAGTTACATCAGCAGACAGATAGATTGATCACAGACGGATGGTTGAATAAGGAGGATGGGTGGTGAATGGAAGGATGATGGATGTCTGATACAAGGAAGGACGGCAAGTGATGGATGGATGAATGAAGGAAGTAAGTATGTACAGATGATGGATGGATGGATGGACGGATGATGGATGGAAGGATGGATGGATGGACAGATGATGGATGGATGGATGGACGGATGATGGATGGATGATGGATGGATGGACAGATGATGGATGGATGATGGACAGATGATGGATGGATGGATGGATGGATGGATGATGGATGGATGGATGACGGATGAATGAAGGAAGTATGCATGTACAGATGATGGATGGACAGACGATGGATAGATGGATGGACAGATGATGGATGGATGAAGGATGTATAGATGGATGGATGTTGGATGGATGAATGGATGGATGGATAAATGGTGGATGAATGAATGGATGATGGATGGATAGATGGATTAAGGATAGATGGATGATGGAGGATTGGATCACTGGATGATGGAAGACAGATGGATGAGTGAAGGAGAAAAACTTGTTCTACTTGGGGGAAAGCTCTAGAAATCCTTCTGGGAAAGGATGAGGCCTCTTGGGAGATGATTGAACTTGTAGTCAGAAGTCCTGGTTCAAACTCCAGCTCTGTCATTTGCTAGCTCTGTAATCTTAGGGAAATTACTCCATCTCTATGACCCTATATTCCCTTATTTTTAAAATAAGAATGTTTCCCCAGGCATTCTACATAGAGGTGTAAAGGAGCCCTGGGATTATATGTAAAGGTGGCCTAGACACAAGGTAAAGAGTCCCCATGGGGGTCAGGGTGGCATGACATTGCTAAGCTCTTGGCTTCTTCACCCCCCAGCTTAGGGCCTTGATCTGAGGGCCTGTCTCTTGCCCAGCCCACGTATCCTGCCTGGCCCCTGCCTTGCCCACCCTCTGGAACCCCAGGCAGCCCTGCCAGCCTCTGTCCATCCTGCCCTGCCCCCAGGCCCAGCCTGGGTCCAGGCTCCACCCATCCCAGCCCTCATGTCTGGCCCTGACCTCAGCACACTCAGAGGGGCTGGGGGCGATGAGGGGGCAGCCACAGGCCCTGCTTCCACACAGCGCAAGAAAACAGGTTCAACAAGCATTTATTGAGCCCCTGCTGTGTGCCTGCCCTGTGACCCCCTGTAGTGCCAGCACAGCTGCCCCTCCTTCAGGAAGCCCTTCTCCCTGCCCCCACAGGGCGCTGCCCCTCTGGGCACCTCCTTGGCCTCCTGGCTGGTGTGTGGGTGCCCCGGCACTCAGTGCCAGTGTCCATGTCTTCTCTGGCATCCCAGCCGCACCCAGCAGGGCTCTGCATGTCATGGTGGCAAGAGTTAGGGCTGCTGTCCCAAAGTCACTCTGTGTAGTCCTGCGCATTCCCTCGGGCCACCCTGGCCCCATCTCCAGGGTCCTGGACCCAGGCAGCAGTGGGCAGGCTGGCTGAGTTCACAGCACACAGGCCAGGTTTCCGGGGGCACTGGTCTAGTGTTCTTGTGGCTGGGAGGTGGTGACGGCGACGGCCTGAGATCCAGGGGCTAGGATGGGGTCTCGGTCACACCCAGTGCCCCAGGACCCAGCACTGGCGGTTCAGCTCTGGCACCTCCTGGACAGAGCTCCGGGGCCAGGAATCCCCCATGTGTGGCTGGTGTCCTGCCAAGAGACAAGGTGGTCAGTGCTGAAGCCACCTTCCTCCACTCACACCTTATCTACCCACCCACCCCCACCCACCTGCGCATCCATTCCCAGGCCTTCTACCTGTCCTCCCATCTGTCTATCAACCCACCCACTCCTCCATCAACCACCCGCCCACCGCTAGTGCAACAACACATCTGTAAGCTCATCATACATCTGCCAGTATTTGCTGCCATCCAGTCACCAACCCACCAATATACCCACCACTCTTCCCACCCACAACCCACCCACAGCCCCAAAATCCACTCATGTACCTCCCACCTGTCAACACACCAGCACACCCCCCGTTGTAGCCAGCCATCCTCCTGCCACCCCAGTAACACACCCACCAACTCACCTTTCCACATATGCATTTACCTGTAACCCAGAACATCCCCATATCTGCCCACTTACCCATGCTCCAACCTTCTGCCCCCTAAGTCAACAACACACCCACCCACCGCAGTAGCCACCCACCACCCACACTCACCCATCTCACACTGAGCCATCCACCCACTCATGCCATCTACCCACCCACTTTTCCTCTACCTTTCCCTTTCACCACCCACCTCTCCATCCACCCACCCATCTATCCATCTCTGCCCACTCTCATCCACCCACCCCCCACCCATCCACCTGTCCATCCATCCACCTGTCCATCCCCCTGTCCCTTCATCCATCCACCCACCCATCCCACATGGAGCCATCCACCCACTCATGCTATCTACCCACCCACTTTCCCTCCACCCTTTCCTTTCACCACCCACCCACCCATCCACTCACTGCCCCCCCAGCTAGGCCTCCCTGAGCTCCCCTGGGGGCCTACACATGTTCAAGGAGCCATGGGAGAGTCAGGAGAAGAGAGATGACACCTTGGCCCCTCAGTCCTTACCGGTCCCCAGGAACGTGAGCATGTGCATGGGTTGTGCAAAGGCAACTCTGAGCAGCTCCCTGTGTGTCAAGGCGATGGGCAGAGACTCTGCCACCCTCCACTCCCCCCACACACCTGCCACTGTCCCTGCTCACAATGGCCTGGGCAAGGGGAGGAGCGGGGAGGCTCCTTATCCAGTGTCCTCACTCTTGTGCATTTTTCTTCATTCTCAAACGATCACTCCCCTGTCCTCCCTCAAGTGCCTCTTCAAAGTCTTTCTAACATGCCAGAGCCGTTCCCATCTCACACCGTGACCTGCCTAAAATGTCCTCGTACCTACGGTCAGGTCAGACCCTCCAGACCCAGCTCAAGCCTCACCTCCTACAGGAAGCCTCCCCAGCTCTCAGGGATCTGCCTCCTCCTACAGCGCCCGCCCTGAGCGGCACACTCTGCCAGCTTCACCCCCATTAGACCCTGAGCCCAGGAGAGCAACGAGTACACCCGTGGTAGAATCTCCACGGCGGCTCAGTGGAGGCAGAGAGAGAAAGAGGAAAACCAAGGGAGGAGAAGACCTGCAGGGTGGGTGCGGATGGGAGGGAAGGGCAGGAGGAAGAAGCCCAGCACTGACTGAGCATTTTGAGCTGCACACACTGTTCTAGAGTCCATGAGGCAGACAAGCCCATGAGGCAGGTTCTACCCATTTCACAGATGAGGAAGATGAGGCTCAGCAAGGACAAGTAGCATTTTAGGATTCACAGCTGCAGCAGAGCTGGATTAAATTAATTTCTTCCTGATTCCAAACTTTAGCATTCAAAGAAAGACATCCCATGTCATTTTGCTTTCCTACTCTGATGCTCAGACAAACTTGTCATACTTTAGGGTCGATAGGCTCTTTGTAAAAAGCCAGTCGAGGCGGGAATTCCTCGTGAACCAGGCTCCTGCTTGCACACCTCTAAGGATGGGGGGCTCATTGCTCTTCCTCCACCTCAAAGCAGCTCTGACTGTTGGAAGATTCTTCCTAATGACAGAGGCTGGGAGGGAAGAGACAGAGGTAGACAGATGTGCCAACAGTGGGGGGGAGGGATGATTTTTTGTTTTTGCTTTGGCTTTTTTCCCTTCTATTTTTGATATTCTTTAATGTTAGTGGTTTGCAAAATTTACGATGTTTTTTTAAAGGGGTAGGAAAGGTTTTTGCAAACATTCTTGAATCATTGGGCCACAGGGGAAAAAAAGAATTTGCTTTGGCCCCAGTCACTGAAACAGTTGCATTCTTTGGAAGTGTTTGCTGCCAGGATAAAGGTGTTTGGGATTTCTTTTTTATCTAGAAGCAAATATTTGGTGCATGGAAAGGTTTGATTGTTTTTCTAAATGAGCATTTAGAAGCGATTGTAGCTGTTCTGACAGTTGCCAACAGCAGAACCGTGGAGGGTTTATTGGAACAGAAAGAAAGCGATTGTGTATTTTTTTAAGATAAACAGGGGCCGCAATCCCTATCCTTTCTTCAGTTAAAATCAGGCTGTGTGTCCCCTGGATCTGGAGGCCAAGTTCCTGAAGATAGGGACGCTCCTTCTTTTCTCCGGCCTCCCAGAAGGGGCTTGGGGCCCAGAGCTATGTACAGTGTGTTAGGGGAGGATTCACAGTGTGATTGGGGAATTCCAACTCAAATGTCTTCTGGGCCCCAGCAAGGCACGTGAGCAGGTGCCCTGGCCAGAGGCAGCAGCCCCTCAGCTCCCACCAGCCACAGTTACTACAGGGAACGTGCAAAACAAACATCTGGATTTCAGAATCAAACCTCCTGACTTTTAAATAATGACAATTAAGGGCCGAGCTCGTGGCGCACTCGGGAGAGTGCAGCGCTTGGGAGCGCAGCGGCGCTCCCACCGCAGGTTCGGATCCTTTATAAGGATGGCCAGTGCGCTCACTGGCTGAGCGCGGTGCAGGTGACATCAAGCCAAGGGTTGCGATCCCCTTATCAGTCACACACACACACACACAAAAAGATAAATAATGACAATTAAGATTTTTTTTTTTAAAAAAAGGTGTTTTTTTGGTGGCTGATTGGTACAGGGATGGAACCCTTGGACCTTGGTGTTATCAGCACCATGCTCTAAGCACTGAGCTAACCCGCCAGCCCTTTAAAATATTTTAAATAATCTGTGGGCCACATAATGCCACTCTGGCCGAGCTCAGCCCATGGGAAGACACTTTGTCACCTCTGCCTGTCCCCATCCTGTGTCTCTGTTCCAATGCTTTGCAGTGCTGGTCACTTGGCCAGGAGCACCCTTCTCTGCTCCCCTCTGCCTGTTGAGTGCCTACTCTTCTTTCAAATGCCCCCTCCTCTGGGAAGCAGTCCACGGCCCCATCTTTGTGCCCTGCAGCACACACATGTCTTCTCTACCTCTTCTTGTCACTTTGTGTTGTAATAGCCAGTTCAACGTGGGCCTCCCTAGATACCCGGGGGATAGGGGACATCTATGCAGGAGGGGACTGGGTCTGCTTCACCCTGAAGCCCTCAGCCCCCAGTACCTGGCCTGGCACAGAGCAAGTCCTGGGCCCTCATCTGTTTTTTTTTTTTTTTTTTTTTTTTAAAAAAAAAAAAAA